GATGGTGTGTTAAATAGAAGGTGTGTGAAAATAAATTAATACATTCAATTTTAAAATGATAAAAATGTGTTGTGTGTTTAAATAATAAATATATATATATTTATTTTAAATGATGAAAAAAGTAGGGAGTGTGGGGTTTTTTGTGGAGAAATATTTTAAAAATAATTATTTTTTGTTTTATATAAAATTAATATCATTTTTATTTCCAAATAAATTTAAAATTAATATTATATTTTGTTTATATATATTTTATTTTTATTTTTAAAAATATCTGTTATACTATACTTAATAAAGTACAGCTATAGCTGCTGCTTCTGTTGTTGCTATTGATATTTAAAAGTTTTTATTAATGTTTAAAAATATTATTATTTCTTTTTATAATATCAACAGTGAATGGTAAATTATTTTATATTATTTTATTTTTTTAAAAACAATATTTTTTCTTAAAAATAATAAAAAAGCTTTATAATGTGAGTGATAGTGTAATATTGAAATATGAATTAAAAAGGGTGAGGATATTAGTGTGTGTGTGTTGATGGTGTTTTGTCAATGATATATAGTTTTTTATTAAAAAAATAATAAAAAATAAAAAATAAAAAAAAAAGAAAAAATAAAATAAAATTTTATTGTATGTATTTTATAAATTTAATCTTTTATTTTGGTTTATTAAATTTGGATGTTTAGTTGTTTGTTTGTTTATTTAGGGTGGTGTTTTTTTGATGTACAAACACATTTACTTTGAAAAGTGAAAAGAGAGAGAGAATAAAATAATAAAAATAATAAATAAATTAATTACAATAAATAAATTATTTTCTATTTACTTTTTTATTATTTTATTTTATTCAATTTTAAAAAATAATATATATAACATCACCTGAAAATAATTGGTATTTTTGTGGGGGGTAAAGATGGTTGTATGGTTTGTTTCAATATATTTTATTTTTTAATCTATGACGAATATCAATGATTTTACTTTTTTTTTTTTTTTTTTTTTTTTTTTTTAAAAAAAAAAAAAAAAATTATTTAAAATAATAAAATTAATAAAAAAAAAAAAAAATAATTAAAAAAATAAATAAATTACCCCAACCACTTATAATGGTTACAATTACTTTTTAAAGGGGAAGTTTTTCTACCTTACCCAATACCTTCACCAGGATACCCCCCCTGAAATAGGATTGCAATTAAAATTCCTTTTAAAAGTGAATACCCCCGTTTCAAAAATATTGTTAAGTTTTTTTTTAAATAAAATCATTTTAGATTTTCTCGTTGTTTTAATAATTTTAAATAATGTGTGTGTTTATATATTTTAAACTACTTTGCATCCATCCAATTTAATTTTATTAACACACACACACAATAACATAATCTTTTTTTTAAATACCCACACTCTAAAACATAGACACGATACAATAAAAATCCATTTATAAAAAAAATTTTATGTTTTTATGTTTTTATTTTTTCCCCCCAACTCCACAACATAGCATACACAATAAATAATAACTAAACAAATTCGATCTGATAATTTTGAAAAAGAAAGAATAAAAAACATTGCAACAAATAATTTACATAAAACAAAATAGTATGTTCTTTAAATATTTATATATTAGTATTGGGAGTTTGTGGTTTTACAAAATGAGAGGTTATAAAGGGTATACAATAATTGCTTTTTTTAATAAATGAAACATACTTCTCTTTTTAAAAACCATAAAACTTTATAATAATAATTATTATTATTACTGCTTTTATTTATATATAAAAAACCAAAATAAATAAATTTCATTTTATTTCTTTTTTTTTTTTTTTTTTTTTTTGTATATATAAATATAACAACAAATATTATTTATTATTTTAAAATTTAATAGATACTCATAATTTTTGTACTCACATCATAGTTTTAATCTTTACTAATTAATAATAATGAATATATTTATTTTATATTTTTAATTCCTCTAAATTTTTTTTTTTTAAAAAAACCATTTTTAAATTTTATTAATACTCCCTTTATATTTTTAACTCTATATAAATATATAGAGAAGGTTGAATATTTATTTTTATTCTATTAAATAAATATAAATTTTTTGTTTTGTGTGAGGAGGAACAGATAAATAAACATTTATGTTTTCTTTTTTAGATTAACGACACATTTAACCTTACACCCCAAAATCTCAATATATAATATTTGAACAACCCCATTTTTTTATACTTTTTTATTGTAACAATGAAGTGTAGGTATCGATTATTAAATTAGTATTTATATATAATACAATCTTTAAATTCCAACTATTAAAAATTAAATATTATTGAAATGTTTATAATTTTTCTATAAAAAAAAAAAAAAATCATTATTTATCTTGAGGAAATTTAAAATGTGGTTTAAAAAATATTGTTGCAATAGAAATAGCGGTATTAGGGTTTTTACTAACCAGAACTAAAACCTCCAATACTTTATTTTAAATTTAGGAAACTAACACAATTATTAGATTAAATTCGAAGTAAAGATGATATCTATTAAAAAAAAAAAGAAATTTTAATTTACACCCAATAGTATTTTTATTTCTTTAGGAAATTTAAAAAATATCTAGACAATGTAATAAACATGTAATACAATTACTAAATTAGATTATTATTAGTGCACACAATAGAAGTTGACTACTTGTAATTATAATAGTAATAATAAAAAACCTCTCTCACCTAAATAATTAAACAAAAATAAAATAAAATAAAAGAGTACTTAAATAAATAAAACAATACAACAACATAGTAATTATTTCTTTTTAATTTTTTTTTTTTTAATTTTTTTTATTTACAATAGTTTTTTTTTTTAAAATGCGTATGTATCCTATAGTTTTTTTTTGGGGGTAGCTGTATATTTCTTTTTTAATTTCTTTTGTTTTTGTTTTTTGGATTATAAAGTATAGTATACATTTAGAGGAGGATGAGTGGATTGGGAATTATGATTGAATTGGGGTTGTTGTAATTATGTTTTAATAATGAGTGGGGAGTGTTATTATCGAAAAAAATTAATTTTTAAATTTTATATAAATAAAAAAGATGACCAAGATAATGATAATGATTACCTATTTGATATTTGATATTTGTTATTTGTTATTTAATATTTATTTGAAGATTGATATATAGATTATTGTGGACCTCTTCTTTGTTGGAAAGAGTTCATGTGGCCGCCTCTACTGCCACCTCTACCACCACCACCACCGCCTCTACCGCCACCTCTGCCACCTCTACCACCACCGCCGCCGCCACCGCCACCACCACCAAATGCAGCGCCTTTACTTATACCTAAAGCTTTACCTTTGAGTACAACTCTACCGTCAATTCTCTTGAACATTGGTGCATTTTTTAAGATATCTGGGAGGATAATAAAACGAACTTTACTACCTCTAACATAACAATATTCCATTTGAGAGTTTCTTCCATCTTTTGCTGTGACTGTAATATTCTTCATTCTGCAATTCATATTATCTTCACTTTCAATTAAAGTTCCTCTATAAAGTTCGCCATTTTTTAATTCGACTGTAACAATATGTCCATCAGCTTCGTGTAAAATCTTGACTGGTATACCAATGCTCATTTTCTATTCTATTAATTTTGATATACAATTAATTGTGATTAAAAAAATAAGGAATTTAAAAATAAAATGAAAAAAAAAAAAATGATTTTCATCCAAAAAGAAAAAAATTTAAAAAAAAAATAAAAAAAAATTCAAAAAAAAAAAAATAAAAAAATAAAAAATTTTTTAAAAAATAAAAGATATATTATTTTTGGAAAATTTATCAATATACATTTTTTTATCTGAATAATAATAGTTTTTTTTTTATTATAAGAAATCTTTTACAGAAACAGGCTTTTTAATTGCATTGGTAAAACCTTCTTGAAATTTATATTTAATATGTGGTCCTTTATTTTCGCTAGTGGCTCTTTTTTGTTCAGGCGAGGTTTGAATTACTCTACCAAAGAAATCTTTTAAAACTTGTGGTGCCAAAGGTTTGGCAGGGGTAACTGGTTGTTTGAATGAAGCTTTTTCTTTTTCTTTTTCCTTTTCCTTTTCTTTTTCCTTTTCCTTTTCTTTATGAGTATCTACAGTTTGTATTTTTTTAATTGGTTTATATTGTTGTAATGCTATGGTAATAATTTGTTTTTGATCATTTGATAGTCTAATATGTCTAATAGGTGGAATCGATGATTTGTCAAATGATTTTTGTTGGTCATATTTATTTTGTGGTTGATTTTGGAATGTTAATAGTTGGTCGATGGGTGGCTCTAATTTATATTGCATTTTATCTTTGTTATCTTTCGATTGGTATTGGTTGGCAGTTGATTTCTCTAATTTATAAGTAATGTGATAATATTTCATTATTTCGACCAAACTATTCAAATTATTCTTTTCTTTAATGCTGTATAGTTGAGTATTTGAAACACGAATTGGTAATGATAAAATATCTATAAATGGATAAACAAAATCTACAGTGAAATAACTCTTTTTTATACTTGAATGTACTTGAGCGGGTGCATCGCTAAAGAAGGAGTCTTTGATGGTTGATGTACTCTTCTTTTTGATATAGTTGTCGTATTCAGAATGTGGCATTACAACTTTAGGTGTATAGGTTGTGCAACGATGGTGAATGGCTAATGGTACAATGGATTTATATTTTTCATCGTGACCTATGTGATGATTTTGGAGGACATCTGAAAAAACCATCCAATCTAGACAATCGACAGTCTTATCCAAGCTATAGTCTGCAGTAATATTGGTTAAAAAATTTTCATGAACACCATCCATCAATTTATCAACTTGATTACATGATTCGACAATCAGATTTAATTGCTGATACTCTTGACTACCGCCAATATTCTTATTATTTAACAAAGTTTGAGAGGCAGAATACATTGAGGAGCTTTTATTTGTAGATGGATTCTTGAAGAGGAGGTTCCAAATTTCGAATAAACCTTTTTCGATATCTTTTTGGCCAATTACAATGTTTGATTTGTTTTTTAATAGGTCAGAGTTTAATACACTGGTTTTGGATTTGATAAATTGTAAAGAGTTTATACATGCACGAATATCTGAGCCAGTCATATCGATAAGTGAACCTAATGTTGAGTCATTTGCTGTCAAGTTTTCGTGTAAACAAATTTCTTTTAATCTGCTCAAGAGTTGCTGTTTTTTTGGTGCTGAAAAATTAAAAACGGTGGCTTTTTGTCTAAGTTTTCTTAATGATGGTACATATTGATCGTTGCAAATACAAATAATAGGTCTTAATAGTCTGGTGAGTTTCTTTTTTTTTGATTTGGTTGAGGTCTTCTTTTTATTGGCTGCTGTACCTTCATTATCATTACTGTAAAATTCATCTTCGTCATCATTATCACTTTCACTCTCCTCATCGCCATTGTTATTGTTGTTGCTATTTGTATTTTTTTTTGTGGTATTATTTGTTTTCTTTGATGCACCTGCCTTTAAACTATTGTCTATTAATTTACAAATCAATTCGATTGGACCATTATCACGACCAGAGATACCATCGATTTCATCGATGATTAAGCAATTGTGTTTATTTGAAAATACAGAACTGTTGTTTTCAATGGTAGATAATAATTTGCTTTCAAAAGCTTCACCAGATCTATCTTCACTAGCATTAATTTCTACAGTGTTATAACCAGCAGCTTTTGCCAAAACATGAGCCAATGTAGTTTTACCTAATCCAGGACCCCCAGTTAATAAAATTACTTTAACAATTGGTGAACCATCTTCTTGTAAGAAATACTGTTGGTGATGATGACTATTGGATTGTGGCTGGGTACTTGATTGAGTGCCAATAGTCGATTTTGATTTAAACTGATTATTTAATTGATTATTAAGTTGACTGTGATATCTGTTTGCGCTATTTGTGCTGATTCCCAAATTAGAGGATAATTGAGATGTTGCTACTGATGATGGCATTACTAAATCTTTTGGAATATCTTTACCAAATACAACACAATCCCATAACTTTAACCACTTTAAAATTTCAATGTTCATAGAGTCATCACTTAATAAATCATGAAATGATGATGGTGAATATTTATCTACCCATAATTGATTGTCTTTAACTTGATTAACATTATTGCTATTGTTAATTTCACTCTTCTTTTCACTTTCTTGTAAAAGTCTAGCTTTATATTTAATTGCTTCCTAAAATTTATTAAAAATAAAAGTTAGTATTCCCAACTTTAATTATAACAAATATCATTTCTACATATACATAAAAACTATAAACTTACAAAATCCTCCAACTCTTTTAAAATTTCATCGAATGGCTTTCCCAATAAATCGCCATACGACTTTTTAATTGAATCGTTAATACCACTATTTGATTCATTTGTTATTTTTTTATTGACATTATTTAAATTTAGTTTTTTTGAAACTCTATGGCCTGAAAATGATGTGATATTTATATATTTGATATTTGATTTTGGTTTTTTCTCTATTATTATCGCATTATTATTATTATTATCTTTTTTAAATTTTTTTTTTATATTATCATTATTATTATCTTTATCATTGTTAATTTCTTCTTCTTCGCTATAAAGATTTCTTTTAACTCCCAACATTGTTATTATAATAAATATAATAAATACACAATGAATACTTATTAAAAAATTTAAAATAATAATAATAAAAATATTTTTTTTTTTTTTTTTAAATTTTTTTTTTAAATTTTTTTTTTAAATTTTGGAGGGTTTACATTTTTTGCATTTAAATAAATTAATTCTTTCTTTTTTTTTATTCCCAAAATAAATAATAAATTATAATAACAATATTTTTATTATAATTAAACAAATAAAATAAAAATAAATAAAAAAAAAACCTTTTTTTTTTGTGGTTCTTAAAATAGTGTATGTATCTGTTTTTGTGGGATAAAAAAATTTTTTATTTTTTTTTTTATTCATTATAATTTAGTAATCACATTTATACTGTATATAATATAAAATAATAAATATTATAATAATAATATAATAATAAAATATGATCAAAAAAAATATAAATTATTTATTTTTAATTTTATTAATAACTTTTATTGTTTTAAATAATTTATTAGTCAATGCAGAAGGTGGTGGTAAATGTTCAAAAGAATCTTTAACAGAAGAACCAGAAGAATATGATATTGAATTCTTTAATTTAGAAGATACAGAAAAAAAAAAGCAGAATATAAAGGATTGGGATGTTTAGAGTTTTTAAAAGATATTGAATCTTATTACTTTAGTCCCTATCAAGCTGAAATAATAGTATTTGATAATACTATTATAGATATTGGATATAATGGTTTAATTCATTTTATTAAAACAAACAATAGTTCCAAAGCAATCTATAATGTTAGTTCTGATAAAAAATTGGTTGGATATACTTTAGAAACACCATCACCATCACCATCACCATCATCAGCTCCATCTCGATCTCCCTCTCCATCATCCTCTCCATCTCGATCTCCATCACCCTCTCCATCTTCAACTCCAAAGAAAACCCAGAACTTTTTCAATTCATCCAGGTCAGACTCTGTAAAATTATTACCCTCATCTGTATCACTATTTTTAATTATTTTTATTTTATTTAAATTATTCTAAATAAATACTAAATATATTTTCACTATTTAAATAAAAAATCAATCCCCCTTTTTTTTTTTTTTTCTTTTTTTTTTTTAATTTTTTTTTTAATTTTTTTTTTTTTTTTTGGTGAACTTTAAAATTTTAATTTTTTTAATTTTTTTTTTAATTTTTTTTTAATTTTGTAAAAAAAAAAATTTTTTTCAATTTTTTCTTTATTTTTTTTTTTAATTAAATTATTTTTTCATCAAATTTTTTTTTTTGTGTATTTATATTATTTATATATAATTTATTTTTTAATTTAATAAAATGTCAAGTTCAAGATACGATAGAGCCATTACAGTTTTTTCTCCAGATGGTCATTTATTTCAAGTAGAATATGCTATGGAAGCTGTTAGAAAAGGTACTGTAGCAGTTGGTGTACGTGGTAAAGATGTTATTATTTTAGGTGTTGAAAAAAAAGCTACCGCTAAATTACAAGATGCCAGATCCATTAGAAAAATTGTTAAAATTGATGATCATATTTGTCTTACCTTTGCTGGTTTAACTGCAGATTCAAGAGTTTTAATTAATAAAGCATTAATGGAATGTCAATCATATAGATTAACTGTTGAAGATTCACCATCAGTTGAATATATTTCAAAATATATTGCTGGTATTCAACAAGTATGTATTTACTATAATTATAAACAAAAACAAAAATAATATTAATAATTTTTTTATTTTTTTTTTATTTTAATTAGCGTTATACTCAAAGTGGTGGTGTTAGACCATTTGGTATTTCAACTTTAATTGTTGGTTTTGATTCAGATGGTACCCCAAATCTTTATCAAACTGATCCATCAGGTTCATATAGTTCATGGAAAGCTGCAGCTATTGGACGTAGTTCAAAAACTGTTAGTGAATTTTTAGAAAAGAATTATACAGATACTAGTGATGAAGAATCAATTAAATTAGCAGTTAGAGCACTTTTAGAAATTGTTGAAAGTGGAAATAAAAATATTGAAGTCGCAGTCATCAGAAGAAACCAACCAATCGTTTTATTAGACGAAAAAGAAATTGATAGACTCGTTGCAATGGTTGAAGCAGAAAAAGAAGCTCAAAAAGAACAAGAAAAATCTGAAAAAAAATAATTTAATTAAACAACTCAACACATTTATTAAATTAAAAAACAAAACCAAAAACAAAAAAAAAAAGATTATTAAAAAGATTTACTTCAATATATAATAATTTTCTAAAATAAATAAAATTGTAAATTTTGAATATATTTATATTTTTTGTGTTTTTCATATCTAAACTTTTTTATTCTAAAATTCAAATATATTTTAATTTTTATTTTCCACATACATTCCCTATTAACATTTAAATTATAAAAATACACAAAAAGATATTTTAAATAAATGAAATTAATCATTATTTTTTTATTTATTTATTTATTATTTTGTTATTTACAATATTTAAAATTTACAGGCGCTATTATTTAAGTTTTTATATACATTTTATGATTATATTATTATTTTGTTTTTATTATTTTCTTTATAAATAAATTATATTAATGTTATAAAGTTTATCTTTTTTATTCCAAATTATTTGATTTTTATATTTAAACATTTGAATTCTATGGAATGGTACTTTATAATCTTGGAATGATCTAAAGGGAGTCTCCATTATTCCATCTATACTATCTTCATAGCACACTATTATTTCATATAGTTTACCAGCCAGGGATGTGTCTAATTTAAGTTTATCGAAAACTGATTCTGGACTTTCTACTTTTTCTATTATATTATTTTTTAAAATTTCTTCTTTTTCAAAAATGTTTAATTTTGGTGATTTCTTTTCTTTTTCTTTTTCTTTTTCTTTTTCTTTTTCTTTTTCTTTTTCTTTTTCTTTTTCTTTTTCTTTTTCTTTTTCTTTTTCTTGTTGTTCTTCGTCAACATCTATAAAAATTGGTTTAATATTATTTAATAAATTCCCATTGCTTGTATTATATCTCAAATTGGTTAAGTTTGATTTTGAATTGGTTTTTATTATTGGTTGCAATAGAGATTTGTTTAATGTAGGCTTTGAAGAGGATTTATCATTTATTTTTTTTTCTAATTTATCTTGTTGTTCTAAAGAGTATTCCATTTCTTTTTCATAGTCACTATTATCATCTGATGATCCACTACTGCTTTCATCACAATAGTCATAGTTACTAAAATCTGTAATGTTTGAATAAACCTTTGGATACTGTGTGTATACTGATTGCATTTTTTTTTTTTTTATGTTTTTAATTATTTTATAAAATTATTAATTTATTGTTTTTATAATTATTTTTTTATCAATATGATTATTATTTGAAATTATGTTTTTTATAATAATTTAAAAAATTGTTATTTTAAAAAAAAGATATTATATATTAAAAAAAAAGTAAATATTTTTAATTTATATTAAAAATTTTTAATTAAAAAAAAATAAAATAAAAAAAATCAATTTTGCCTATCAAAATTAAATTTTTATTAATTTTCCACACAAAAATTTATTAAAAAAAAAAAAAACGTATTTTTAACAAAAACCAATAAAAAGTTTATAAATTTTCAAAAATAATTCATCGTGGTAATCAAGATTAAAAGCTAATATTAGATTATTTTTATTGATTTTATTTCAAATTTTATTAATCTTTATATTAATAATGATTTTATTTTATTTTTTTCTGGTTTGGAAATATTTATTATTTTATTTTTTTATTTTTTAACACACAAAAATAAAAATTAATAATATCCACAAATTTCTTTATTTAAAACTTATTTATTTTTTATTATTTTTTTATTATTATTTATTATAATTTATGTTATTTATTATCATATCATTATTAATTTCCCATTCTTTTTCATCATATGAACCAATTGATTTTAATAATTGTTTGGTTTTGTTTGACATTTTGAAACCTTTTTCAACGAAAATATCCGAAACAAAAGTTTTTTTATTTTGAATTTTATGTGTATTATATTTGGTACATGATTTATGATTTGATTGTGAAACTATCTCTTGCCATTTTTCAAATTCTATTTCTTCACAATTATAATATTTCTCTAATACATTATAAATTGTTTTAATTCCAATCGAATCACCATTTAGAGAAAAAATTAAATTTGAGTTTGAATTTGAATTTACCCAACTTTTCTCGCTAAATATTATATTTATTATATTTCTTGATAATACTGTAATAGGTGCAGTAAATAAGTCTTTATATATATTTGGATAATACCCAATAACACTTGAGGCTTGAATTGATAGGTGGAGAAGGTCGTTTGGATGACCTTTACCAGTTTCAGGATTAGACCAGATATCTGGTAAACGAATTGTTAATGATGGAATACCTCTTGATTTTTCGGCATATGTTAAAAGATTTTCTGTGATTACTTTTGATTGTATATATCCTATTGATGTACTTTCAAATCTTGGTAATATTTTATCTTCATCAAACTCTTCACCATTTAATGAATGATTAAAGAATACTGAGAATGATGAAAAATGTACAATTGGTTTTTGTGTTTCGTTTGATACTGAGAATTTAATTAGTTCTTTAACACCATTGACATTTACAGGTTTACTTTCTTGATAGTTTGATTGTAAATTTAGATCAGCTGCTGAGTTTATTATGATATCTACTTCATTTGAAAGTATTGAATATGTTTCATTTGGAAGGCCAAGTCTATATTTTGAAATATCACCTGTGATTGCAATAATCTTTGATTGTTGTTGTTGAGTTAGACTGTCATATAGTTGATGGTGTTTAAGATTATCTATAGTTTCATTTACTGGGTTTGGTGAATTTGATTTATTTCTTATTAAACAATATACTTTTGAACAGCTTTGCATTTGAACTAAATGATTTAATAAATATCCACCAAGATATCCATTTGAACCTGTTAATAATATTGATTTATTATTATTATTTAATATAGATTCAATTGAAAATGGTTTTGATACTATCGAATCTTCTAATTTAATTTCATCTTGAATAAATTCTTCAATTGATTTTTTATTTTCTTTGTCTACTATTGATTCTTTCTTTGTGTTATTGTTTTTGAATGTTTTGGTAATAATATCTATTGATTGTGAAATTTTATTCTTTTGTAGTTGTTGAATGGTAATTAAATTATGTCCAAACTGATTATCTATCCAGTTTTTTAATTGAACTTGCATTAAACTATCAGTTCCATATTGTGTCAGTTGGAGATCTAGATTTATTTTTGATTCTTCTATTGATAATAGTTCTGAAATCTTGTTTATAATTGATTGTTTCATGCTTTCATCACTATCACCACTTAATGAATTGATTGATTTGTTTGTTTTTCTAATCATATTTGTTTGATAATCAAGTTTTGAAAGATGATAGTTTGACTTATCTGATTGTAACTTTTCAAAATCGAAATCAGATAAACAATAGTTTGAATATTTGCTACTGTTTTGAATGAATAAGTCTAATGAGCTTAAAATTAATTGTGGTGAAAATAGTTTAAAAAATGAACTATGGAACATTGTTTCGATTGCATCATTTCTTGAAACGAAACCAGTTGATGATATTGCACCTAAATTAACTGATAGTGATGGTAATCCAATAGATTTTCTGAATTTTGATAATGAGTCAACGACACTACAAGCGCTAACATAACAACATTGTTGATCCGAACCAATCATTGATACAACTGATGATGCCATTATAAATTGTTTTAATTTCCATGAACGTTGAATTGATTCATTATGTAAATTGATTGCACCAATTGTTTTTGCACCATGTGCGATATTTACACGATTTATATCGACATCTTGAACACCACCAATATCATTTACAAATGCAAAATGAATTATTGTATCGATGTTTGTAATGTTTGAATTGGACTCTAGTTGGTTTAGTAATATTTGAATTTCTTTGCTATCTTCAATATCGATTTGATTAAAGTGGAATTTAATTGTATTATCTTTTTGATGTTTAGTTTGGTTGATTAATAGTTCTAATTCCCATTTTAATGGTGATCTTGATAGGATTATAATATTATCGATTGATTTGTTTGAATATTTAACAAGCCATTTCATTATTTCTAATATAATACCTGTTTGACCTGTTACTAATATGTTTTTACCAATATCTAATCTTGATATATCATAACTATTCTTCATTATAACTGAATTATTTTGTTGTTGTTCATTGAGTACCTTAGATAACATATCAGAATCATGGTTTACTACGATTTTACCAATATGTTGTCTTTGATTGATATATTCGAGTGCATTTTTGAATTGACTATTTGAATATTCAATGATTGGAATTAGTTCTAATTTGTTTGAATTGAACATTTTAACTATTTTTTTTAAATAATATTTAAATAATGATCCTGAAAACTCTACAAGCTCTACATTATGATATCCATAGTTGTATTTAAAGTGATTGTTTGTCATATAATCATTTGGTGTTAAATGTGTAATTGAAAGATCTACAATTCTACCACAAGTATTTAAACATTGGAAATTTGAATCCATATATTCTGATGATAATGTATTTAATATTAAATCTACACCTTGATGATCTTTGTCACATTCTAGTTCTAATAATTTATTTTTAATTTGTTCAACATAGTTTTTATTTCTTGATGAATAAATACCAGTAATAAATGAGCCATATTTATCTATTAAGTATTGTTCTTTATCTTTTGAACCGACTGTTAAAAATATATAACCTTTGTGTTGTTTATACTTTAATAGCTCTAATGATGAAAGACCTATGCCACCTGCTGCTGAGTGAATTAAAATTGTTTGGTCTGATTGTAAATTACCAGTATAGAATATACTGTGTAATGAAGTAGCATAAATCGATGGGATAGATGCTGCTTGTACATGGTTCATATTATTTGGTTTGTAATTTACATATCTATAATCCATAACTACATGTGATCCACTAGTTTTTGAAGCTATACCAAATACTTCATTACCAACTTTTAATTTCTTTACATCACTTCCACAACGAGTTATAATACCACTAAAGTCATTACCAATATTAGGAATTTGGTTTGCCCCATTTTCAGCTTCTTCTTCTTTACCATATTTGATATCGATATTATTTGATATTTGACCAATATAAATTAAATAGTCTTTATAATTGATACCAGTACCTTTAACTTCGATTTCGATTTCATTTGGTTTTAATTGTTGTTTTTTAGTTTTTAATACATATTCTAAATTTGGATCAAGTTGAACCATTAAGTTGTCTTTGTTTGTTTCAAATGATTCAGATTTAAATGTTTGTTTAAATTTGCTTTGTTTTTTATATCTTTCATAATACACCGTGTTATTTGTAATTGTAAATTCTCTTTGAATATTTGATGTTGGATTTATTAATATATCGATAAGTGATAGTATGTTATCATTTTGAAGTGAAATATTATCAAAGTCTAAACTAAATAGATTTAATTGTGGAAATTCTACAAAATATCTTGCAGCACCAACGATTGATGATGATAAATAGTTATCAGATGTTGAGTTTAATAATATTAGAACATGTGTAAAGTAATCTGAAAGTTCATGTTGGAGTATACTTTGATTAATTTGAATGTATTCGAATGTTATCTCTTTAAAGTTGGTTACATCTAATGTATCAATTGTTTTCATAAACATTATTAATGTTTTACATTGTTTAATTGAATCGATTGATTGTTTAAGCCAATATTTAAACTCTTTGAAACTGTTCATTTGATTTATTTTGGTGGAATTTAATTGATTATTTGATTTAAATAATTGGTTGATTTTGTAATTATCACTTTTTCCAAATAATATGATGTTATTGAATGATTTCAATTGTTCCATTGATTCTGTATTTGATAAAACTGTTTCGTTTATTGATGGTTTTCTTGTTTGAATTAAAAACATTAACTCATCATTCTCTGACATTATTGTATCTTTATAATTACATTCATCTAATAATTTGTACCAACTTGATTGTTTCATACAACATCTATCTTTTCTAATTTCTATATCCTCTGGTGATGGCCACCATTGGGAAAATATACCGAATATAGAGTCAAATATTATTGATTTATATGGAGATTCAATATAAATTAATTGACCGTTTGGTGTTAAAATGTTATGAATTTCATTTAAACTGAATTTAAGTTGTTTTACAACATGTAATACATTTGACATTATAATCATATCATAATATGATGGTTTTAATTCTTGATCAATGAATTCTTTTTCTAAATCTAGAACACGATAAATAATATTGATTCCTTTAATATTTGAAAACTTTTCTTTGATATCAGTAAAAAATGATGCAGAAATATCACTCCATGTAAACTCAATGTCAATGTTTGATGACGGATTGTCGATTAATAGTTTATTAATCTTTTCGAGTACCAGAATTGATAATGAGCCTACACCTCCTCCGAATTCTAATATTCTAAATACAATTGGTTCGTTAACAATTGGTTTGATAGTTTCAATAATTATTTCACACAATAGATTGTTTAATGGTTGAACAACTTTGGATGTTTGATAAAAGTCTTCTAAATACCCACCATCAAAAAGTGATTCAGCAGTATCAATGTATGGGTCATCATTTTCTAATGGGAATATTTGTTTTGCCATTATTTTGGCTGCTCTTTCAAATAGTTCTTCGTTTTTATTGTGTGGGCTCATTTGTTTTTTATTTTCTAATTCGTTATATTTTTTTAAATTTTCGAAAATAAAAATAAAAAAGTTTTCATTTATTGATTCTCTGTAATAAAGTTGTTTAAATTGGTTGTAATCAATTGTTGATAATGTTTCATTGTTGATATCTGGACATCTTTGATTGATATGTGTATAAAAGAGTGTGAATATAAATTCATTTGATATAACTTTATAGTCTTGTTCTTTAGCACTTAGTTCATCAATTTGGTATAAATGTTTGAATGATTCTGGTTTGTTAATTACAGAGTCTTTTGATTGTTGATATGGAGTGTAGATTTCATTTGATGGTGGTGGAATAATCAGTGTGTTGTCGATGATTGGTGTAAGTGATGTACAAACAATCAATGAAACTTCAACTAATAATGTACCATCACTTAGCATTATTTTAATTGATCCAGAGTATGAATATGAGTCAATTCTTGATTTCATTTCAGAATATACATATAATTCAGATTGTTGATTCATTTGTGGTATATATTTTGAATAGTATTTTAATCCTTCGATTCTATCTAATACAATTTGACATTGATGTTTAGCAAAACCTAGCATACCATGAAAACATGAATCTAATATCGCAGCATTAAAGAATGATTTCATTGAATCATTTTCAATCAAATGATTAAATTCATTTTGATTTTGAATTTCATTTAGTGACACAATAGAAAATGAACAGTTATCACCAATATAGCATTCTTTAACTCCTTGGAATAGGCCTTTATAAGACAACCCAGTTTTGATTTTAATTGACTCATAAAGATCAGATTTAGATAGCTTGGTGAAATTACATTTGGTTTTTAAATTATCAATATTAATTTTGTTAATTTCATTATCATTTTTGAATAGACTAAAGTTACCAGTGGAGCATAATACCCATTGATTTGTAGTTGTATCTTTGAAATGAGATTTGACATTGTATTCATTCTTTGATAGTGTGATAATTGTTGTTTGTAAACATTGATTGACTCCATCTTGTAAGACTAATGGTGTTTTAAATTCGATATTATTAATTGTAATATCTTGATTTGGATAAATATTAAATAAATTTATAACATATCCACATCCTGGGAAGTAGTATTTGCCTTTTACTTGATGTCCTTTTAACCATTGGAATGGTTGTTTTTTAGTATTAATAAATGTTTGATACGATTTAAATGGTGATTCATTTGTATTGCCAAGATTTTGAATTGGAGGTCCTTCTTTTTTAATCTTTTCATATGTAGAATTATTTTTGAAATACATTTTATCATCCCATTGGTATGGTGGTAAACAATTGACTGAAATGCTGTTATTGATACTACTATCGTTGTTATCTATTTGTGATTTAAAATTAATATTAAATGAGTGGTTTACATAAAGTGTTGAAATTGTTTTTAAAAATTCATCATAGTCATTTTTCTTTTTGTGAAGTGGTGAATGAATAGTTATTTTATCTCCATTATTGAAATATGTTGATTGTTTTGATTTCATTTGATTTAAATAGAATGATAGTGTTGGATGTGGTGCAATTTCGATAAATGTTACTTCGTTACCATAGTTGTTTTCTTCAATGTATTTGTATATGTTTGAAATGGTTTGAGTGAATCTTACTGGTTGTAAAACATTTTCAAATACATATTCTGAATTGAATGGTGTTGTTTCGTGATTAAATAAGTTGGTAGTGACCGTTGAAAATACAGGTGTTGTTGATTGATTTGATTTAATATTCATTGAACATATTTCATCTTTAATAACTAATTGGCTGGAAGTATGGAGAGATGATAATGTTCCAAGCATTGCACAAAATATATCTTTTGATTTTAAATCAGTAACAATTTCATCTAATAAATGTTCTTTACCTGATAATACAATTGATGATGGTGAGTTGTAACAAGCAATGTTTAATGTTGGGTATTTTGATGAATAATTTGAAATATATTCTTCAGCACTTATATTTACAGATAACATTCTACCAGTACCAGTTGTTTTATTTTGAGCAATAGATCTGTGGTATACTAAATAACATAATGTTTCAAAGTCAATCATACCAGAGCAATATGATGCTGATATTTCACCAAGAGAATGACCAACGATTAAATCTGATTTGATACCCCAGTGTTTATATAGCTCGAATAATGATACTTGAATCATAATATTTGATGGTTGTGCAATAGTATGGGTATGTATTGATATCATATCATTATCATCGATTGATCTAAGCTTTTCTAAAACAGAGTACCCATAGTATTTGAAAAGTTCATTATCGAATTTATCTACCCATTGTTTGAATATTGTTTCATTTTGGTATAGTTCTAATCCCATTCGATTATATTGCGATCCTTGGCCACAAAATACAAAAACTGTAAATGGAACCTTATTTTCAATTGTAATATTTGAAAGTGTGTTTGCATTTGATGAGTTAATATTGTTTTGTTTATCAATAAATTCATTCCAATCACTTGCAATAATAACTGATCTTTGAACAAGTGATGTTGATTTATATTTGATTTGATTGTTTGCAAATTGATTAAAATCAAATGTGTCTGATTGATCCATAATAACTTGTTTGTATCTATCAAGGGAAGTTGATGAATTGGATGAAAATGGTATTAAATACTTTTTATTTATTATTTTTGAGTTTTGACTTTTTTTAATACTGTTTTCTGATAAAATAATACAGCAATTGGAACCTATATTAAAAAAATTAGTATTTTAAATACGTTTATATTAAGTATAAATAAAAATTATAAATACCAGTAATACCAAAGTTATTTATAGCCATAACAGTATTTTTATTGTTATTGAATGGTGTTGTTTCAGTTACAACTTTTAGACGCCATTCTTCAAATTTGATATCAGGATTTGGTGATTTAAAGTTGATATTTTGGACAAACGATTGGTTTTTAAACATGACACAACATTTGATTAATGCCATTACACCTGATGATGCTTCACCATGGCCGATATTTGATTTGATAGAACCAATTAAAACTTGTTTGTTTGTATCTTTGAATACTTTCGAAATGCCTTCTAGTTCTATTGGATCTCCAGTTGGTGTACCAGTTCCATGACATTCAACATAATCAACATCTGATGCATTGATTTGACCATTGGAAGATTCGATTGCTGATTTAATATTTTCATATTGTGATGATTTTGATGGTGAATAAAAGTTTGATTTATCATAGTTACCATCTACATTTGAACTTGAGCCTTTGATGACACAATAAATGTTATTACCATCTTTGATTGCTTTTTTTAAACTTTTCAATACTACAACTCCAACACTTTCTGAACGCACATAACCATCCGCATCTGATGAGAACGAGTGGCACCTTCCAGTTGGACTTAACAAACCTAACTGGGTAAATGATTTTGAGATATGAGGATCTTTGAAAATAAAATTAAAAAATGTTAGAATTTCTTTTTAAAAAAGAGTTAAAAAATATTTTTATACTTACCAATAATGAAATTAACACCACCTACGATAGATAAATCAGAAATCCCCTCTTTAATTGACTTGTAACCAAGGTTAATAGCATTTAATGATGAGCTACATGCAGTATCAATAGTAAGTGATTCACCACGAAAATCAAAACAATAGGATATTCTATTGGCAACCGAATTAGATGTGGATCCGAAAATATTACTTTGAGTTTCAAAAGGAGATTTGTTTATAGTACAATAATCTATGGTAGAACAACCCATAAAAGTACTTGTGTTTGAACCTCTTAATGTTATTGGATCTATTCCACTATCTTCTAATGCTTCCCATGTACACTTTAATAGCATTCTTTGTTGAGGATCGATAGAACTGACATTTTCATCACTTGGATGGATACCAAAGAAAATAGGGTCAAAAGATTTCCATTCATCAAGAGGAATAAGACCAGCATATTTACAAATGATATCACCTGTAGCAGCATAGTTATCAGACCATCTTTCAGATGTTTCTACGATACCATTGAATCCACTGGATAACCCATTCCATAATTCATTTGTATTTGAAATTGATTTTGCTAAATCTCCACTTGGAACTCTAAAACCTATACCAATAACTGCAACATCCCCATTATTTCTTTTATTATTTTTATTTTTATCTATTTTTTCCATTATTATTAAAAATAAATTTAAAATAAATCTAGTTAGTAAATTAAAAAAAAAAAATTAAAAATATTTATGCATTTTTTTTAAAAATTTAAATTATTTTATTTAATTAAATAAACCTTTCTTCCTATTTTATTTTATTGGAATTAAAATTAAATAAAAACTACTTTCATTTTTATCTTTTGATAAAAATAAACTGTTTAGAACATTTGTTAATATTATCCCAATCTATTAAGGTAATGCATAATTTAAAAAAAATAAATAAAACGAATAAAAAAAAATAAAAGAAGGGAAAAAAAAAAATAAATTATTGTGTGTGTGTTTATGCTGTTATTTTACATATATTTGTAAATTTTATAAAATGAATAATTTTTTTTAAAAAAAGAGATAATTGGGTAATAACTAAAGATAACGATAATTTTAATTAACTAACATATATAAATTAAAAAAAAAAAAAGATAAAAAATTCCTATCAGTAGTAGATTTGTAAAATAAACTTTATTTTGTTTTAATAATAAATTTGTTTTTTTAATTTAGGTTATTTTTAGAAAAAAGGTTTTTTTTTTTTTTTTTTTATAATTTTTTTAAAAAATGTTAAAATCAATAAAAAACAGTTTTAAACACAATACATGTTAATGTGGGTTAATTTAGCTTTTTTTTTCTTTTTTCAAATTTTATATTATTTTTTTAATAGCGGATAGAAGTAAGAATTTTAAAAAATTTATCTCTATTTTTTTTAATTTTCAAACTTTAAAAATTATTTTATGAAAAATTATTTTATAAAACTAAAATAAGTTCAAATATAATGACAAAAGATCTTGAGGCTATTATGATAGTGTTTTACTAAATTCAAATACAAAAACAAGTTTTAGAAAAGGTGGTCTTTAGAAATGTTATCAATTCGAATGTTTAATAATAATAAATCAAATCAGATATTGTAAAATAATTTGAATTGAATTTTTTATTTTTACACCAATTTTTATTATCAGTGGTACCTATTTAATAAACATTTTATTTTTAATAATTATATATTTTATTTATTTTGAAATATTATGATTTATATTATTTATAATTGTTTGATCATTAATTTCCCATTCTTTTTCATCATAAGAACTAATTGTTTTTAATAATTGTTTGGTTTTATTTGACATTTTGAAACCTTTTTCAACGAAAATATCTGAAGCAAAAGTTTTTTTATTTTGATTGTGATGTATATTATATTTGATACATGATTTATGATTTGATTGTGAAACTATCTCTTGCCATTTTTCAAATTCTATTTCTTCACAATTATAATATTTCTCCAATACTTTATATATTGTTTTAATTTCAATTGAATCTCCATTTAAGGAATAAATTGAATTTGAGTTTGAATTTGAATTTACCCAACTCTTCTCATTAAATATTATATTTATTATGTTTTTAGATAAAACTGTAATAGGTGTTGTAAACAAGTTCTTATAGATGTTTGGATAATAACCAATAACACTAGAAGCTTGTATCGATAGGTGGAGAACATCGTTTGGATGACCTATACCGGTTTCAGGATTAGACCAGATATCTGGTAAACGAATTGTTAATGATGGAATACCTCTTGATTTTTCTGCATATGTCAACAGACGTTCTGTGATTACTTTTGATTGTATATATCCTATTGATGTACTTTCAAATCTTGGTAATATTTTATTTTCATCAAACTCTTCACTATTTAATGGATGATTAAAGAATACTGTGAATGATGAAAAATGTACAATTGGTTTTTGTGTTTCGTTTGATATTGAGAATTTAATTAGTTCTTTAACACCATTGACATTTACAGGTTTACTATCTTGATAGTTTGATTGTAAATTTAGATCAGCTGCTGAGTTTATTATGATATCTACTTCGTTTGAAAGTATTGAATATGTTTCATTTGAAAGTCCAAATCTATATTTTGAAATATCACCTGTGATTGCAATAATCTTTGATAGTTGTTGTTGAGTTAGACTGTCATATAGTTGATGGTGTTTAAGATTATTTATAATTTCATTTACTGGGATTGGTGAATTTGATTTATTTCTTATTAAACAATATAGTTTTGAACAGCTTTGCATTTGAACTAAATGATTTAATAAATATCCACCAAGATATCCATTTGAACCTGTTAATAATATTGATTTATTATTATTATTTAATACAGCTTCCATTGAAAATGGTTTTGATACTATCGAATCTTCTAATTTAATTTCATCTTGAATAAATTCTTCAATCGATTTTTTATTCTCTCTGTCTACTATTGATTCTTTCTTTGTGTTATTATTTTTATTTTTGAATGTTTTGGTAATAATATCTATTGATTGTGAAATTTTATTGTTTTGTAATTGTTGAATGGTAATTAAATTATGTCCAAATTGATTATCTATCCAGTTTTTTAATTGAACTTGCATTAAACTATCAGATCCATATTGTGTCAGTTGGAGATCAAGATTTATTTTGGATTCATCTATTGATAATAGTTCTGAAATCTTGTTTATAATTGATTGTTTCATGCTTTCATCATTACCACCACTTATTGCATTGATTGATTTGTTTGTTTTTCTAATCATATTTATTTGATAATCAAGTTTAAAATGGTAGCTGTTTGATTTATTTGATTGTAAGTTTTCAAAATTGAAATCTGATAAACAATAGTTCGAATATTTGTTGCTATTTTGAATGAATAAGTCCAAAGAGCTTAAAATTAATTGTGGAGATAATAACTTTAATAATGAACTATGGAACATTGTTTCGATTGCATCATTTCTTGAAACAAAACCAATTGATGATATTGCACCTAAATTAACTGATAGTGATGGTAATCCAATAGACTTTCTGAATTTTGATAATGAGTCAATGACACTACAGGCACTAACATAACAGCATTGTTGATCCGAGCCAATCATTGATACAACTGATGATGCCATTATAAATTGTTTTAATTTCCATGAACGTTGAATTGATTCATTATGTAAATTGATTGCACCAATTGTTTTCGCACCATGTGCAATATTTAAACGATTCATATCGACATCTTGAACATCACCAATATCATTTACAAATGCAAAGTGTATTACTGTATCGATATTTGTAATGTTTGAATTGGACTCTAGTTGGTTTAGTACTTTTTGAATTTCGGTGCTATCTTCAATATCGATTTGATTAAAGTGGAATTTGATTGTATTATCTTTTTGATGTTTAGTTTGATTGATTAATAGCTCTAATTCCCATTTTAATGGTGATTTTGATAGAATTATAATATTATCGATTGATTTGTTTGAATATTTAACAAGCCATTTCATTATTTCTAATATAATTCCTGTTTGACCTGTTACTAATATGTTTTTACCAATATCTAATCTTGATATATCATAACTGCTCTTCATTATAACTGAATTATTTTGTTGTTGTTCATTGAGTACCTTTGATAACATATCAGTATCATGGTTTACTACGATTTTACCAATATGTTGTCTTTGATTGATATATTCGAGTGCATTTTTAAATTGACTATTTGAATACTCAGTGATTGGAATTAGTTCTAATTTGTTTGAATTGAACATTCTAAATATTTTTTTTAAATAATTTCTAAATAATGGTCCTGAAAAATAAACTAGCTCTACATTATGATATCCATAGTTGTATTTAAAGTGATTGTTTGTCATATAATCATTTGGTGTTAAATGTGTAATTGAAAGATCTACAATTCTACCATGGCTATTTAAACATTGGAAGTTTGAATCCATATATTCTGATGATAATGTATTTAATATTAAATCTACACCTTGATGATATTTGTCACATTCCAGCTCTAATAATTTATTTTTTATTTGTTCAACATAGTTTTTATTTCTTGATGAATAGATACCAGTAACAAATGAACCATATTTGTCTATTAAGTATTGTTCTTTATCTTTTGAACCAACTGTTAAAAATATATAACCTTTGTGTTGTTTATACTTTAAAAGTTCTAATGAGGATAGACCGACACCACCTGTTGCTGAGTGAATTAAAATTGTTTGATCTGATTGTAAATTACCAGTATAGAATATACTGTGTAATGTTGTAACATAAATACATGGAATAGATGCTGCTTGTACATGGTTCATATTGTTTGGTTTATAATATGCATATCTGTAATCTATAACGACATGTGATCCACTAGTTTTTGAGGCTGTACCAAATACTTTGTCACCAACTTTTAATTTCTTTACATCACTTCCACAACGAGTTATAATACCACTAAAGTCATTTCCAATATTAGGAATTTGGTTTGCACCATTTTCAGCTTCTTCTTCTTTACCATAATCGATGTCTAGATTGTTTGATATTTGACCAATATAAATTAAATAGTCTTTATAATTGATACCAGTACCTTTAACTTCGATTTCGATTTCATTTGGTTTTAATTGTTGTTTTTTAGTTTTTAATACATATTCTAAATTTGGATCAAGTTGAACCATTAAGTTGTCTTTGTTTGTTTCGAATGATTCAGATTTAAATGTTTGTTTAAATTTGCTTTGTTTTTTATATCTTTCATAATAAACTGTGTTATTTGTAATTGTAAATTCTCTTTGAATATTTGATGTTGGATTAATTAATATATCGATAAGTGATAGTATATTTTCATTTTGAATTGAAATATTATCAAAGTTTAATGTGAATAGATTTAATTGTGGAAATTCTACAAAATATCTTGCAGCACCAACGATTGATGATGATAAGTAATTATCAGATGTTGAGTTTACTGATATTAGAACATGTGTAAAGTAATCTGATAGTTCATGTTGGAGTATGCTTTGATTAATTTGAATGTATTCGAGTGTTATCTCTTTAAAGTTGGTTATATCTAATGTATTGATTGTTTTCATAAACATTATTAATGTTTTACATTGTTTAATTGAATCGATTGATTGTTGAAGCCAATGTTTAAACTCTTTGAAACTGTTCATTTGATGTATTTTGGTTTTTAATTGATTATTTGATTTAAATAATTGGTTGATTTTGCAATTATCACTGTTTCCAAATAATATAATGTTATTGAATGATGTCAATTGTTCCATTGATTCTGTATTTGATAAAACTGTTTCATTTATTGATGGTTTTCTTGTTTGAATTAAAAATACTTGGTTATCATTACCAGACATTATTGTATCTTTATAATTACATTCATCTAATAGTTGGTACCAACTTGATTGTTTCATACAACATCTATCTTTTCTAATTTCTATATCTTCTGTTGATGGCCACCATTGAGAGAATCCACCAAGTGCAGAATCAAATATTATTGATTTATATGGTGGTTCAATATAAATTAATTGACCGTTTGGTGTTAAAATGTTATGAATTTCATTTAAACTGAATTTAAGTTGTTTTACAACATGTAATACATTTGACATTATAACCATATCATAATATGATGGTCTTAATTCTTGATCAATGAGATGTTTTTCTAAATCTAGAACACGATAAATAATATTGACTCCTTTAATATTTGAAAACTTTTCTTTGATGTCAGTAAAAAATGATGCAGAAATATCACTCCATGTAAACTCAATATCAATGTTTGATGATGGATTATCGATTAATAGTTTATTAATCTTTTCGAGTACAAGTATTGATAATGAGCCTACACCTCCTCCGAATTCTAATATTCTAAATACGATTGATTCGTTAACAATTGGTTTGATAGTTTCTAATATTATTTCACTTAATAGATTGTTTAATGGTTGAACAACTTTTGATGTTTGATAAAAGTCTTCTAAAAACCCACCATCAAAAAGTGATTGAGCTGTGTCAGTGTATGGGTCATCATTTTCTAATGGGAATATTTGTTTTGCCATTATTTTGGTGGTTCTTTCAAATAGTTTTTCATTTTTATTAAGATGTTTGTTGAATAGGTTTATTTGTTTTTTATTTTCTAATTTGTAATATTTTTTTAAATTTTCAAATATGAAAATAAAAAAGTTTTCATTTATTGATTCTCTGTAATAAAGTTGTTTAAATTGGTTGTAATCGATTGTTGATAATGTTTCATTGTTGATATCTGGACATCTTTGATTGATATGTGTATAAAAGAGTGATAATAGATGTTCATTTGATATAACTTTATAATCTTCATCTTTGACACTTAGTTCATCAATTTGGTATAAATGTTTGAATGATTCTGGTTTGTTAATTATAGAGTCTTTTGATTGTTGATATGGAGTGTAGATTTCATTTGATGGTGGTGGAATAATTAGTGTGTTGTCGATGATTGGTGTAAATGATGTACAAACAATCATTGAAACTTCAACTAATAATGTACCATCACTTAGCATTATTTTAATTGATCCAGAGTATGAATATGAGTCAATTCTTGATTTCATTTCAGAATATACATATAATTCAGATTGTTGATTCATTTGTGGTATATTTGTTGAATAGTATTTTAATCCTTCGATTCTATCTAATACAATTTGACATTGATGTTTAATGAAACTTAGCATACCATGTAGGCATGAATCTAGTATTGCAGCATTAAAGAATGATTTCATTGAATCGTTTTCAAGTAAATGAATAAATTCATTTTGATTTTGAATTTCATTTAATGACACAATTGAAAGTGAACAGTTATCACCGATATAACATTCTTTGACACCTTGGAATAGTCCTTTATAAGTTAATCCAGTTTTGATTTTAATTGATTCATAAAGATCAGATTTGGATAGTTTGGTGAAATTACATTTGGTTTTTAATTTATCAATATTTATTTTGTTAATTTCATTACCATGTTTGAATAGACTAAAGTTACCAGTGGAGCATAATACCCATTGATTTGTTGTTGTATCTTTGAAATGAGATTTGACATTGTATTCATTCTTTGATAGTGTGTTGATTGTTGTTTGTAAACATTGATTGACTCCATCTTGTAAGATTAATGGTGTTCTAAATTCGATATTATTGATTGTAATATCTTGATTTGGATAAATGTTAAATAAATTTATAATATATCCACATCCTGGGAAGTAGTATTTGTCTTTTACTTGATGTCCTTTTAACCATTGGAATGGTAGTTTTTTAGTATTAATAAATGTTTGATACGATTTAAATGGTAATTCATTTGTATTACCAAGATGTTGAATTGGAGGTCCTTCTTTTTTAATCTTTTCATATGTTGAATTATTTTTGAAATACATTTTATCATCCCATTGATATAGTGGTAAACTGTTGACTGAAATGCTGTTGATATAACTGTCGTTGTAATCTATTTGTGATTTAAAATTGATATTAAATGAGTGGTTTACATAAAGTGTTGAAATTGTTTTTAAAAATTCATCATAGTCATTTTTCTTTTTATGAAGTGGTGAGTGAATAGTTATTTTATCTCCATTATTGAAATATGGTGATTGTTTTGATTTTATTTGATTTAAATAGAATGATAGTGTTGGATGTGGTGCAACTTCAATAAATGTTATTTCGTTACCATAGTTGTTTTCTTCAATGTATTTGTATATGTTTGAAATGGTTTGAGTGAATCTTACTGGTTGTAAAACATTTTCAAATACATATTCTGAATTGAATGGTGTTTTTTCGTGGTTAAATAGGTTGGTTGTGACTGTTGAAAATACAGGTGTTGTTGATTGTTTTGATTTAATGTTCATTGAACATATTTCATCTTTAATAACTAATTGGCTTGATGTATGGAATGATGATAGTGACCCTAACATAGCACAAAATATATCTTTTGATTTTAAATCATTTGCAATTTCATTTAGTAAATGTTCTTTACCAGCGATTACAATTGATGATGGTGAGTTGAAACAGGCAAGTTCAATTGATGGGTATTTTGATGAATAATTTGATATATATTCTTCGGCACTTATATTAACAGATAACATTCTACCAGTACCAGTTGTTTTATTTTGAGCTACAGATCTGTGGTATACTAAATAACATAATGTTTCAAAGTCAATCATACCAGAGCAATATGATGCTGATATTTCACCAAGAGAATGACCAACGATTAAATCTGATTTGATACCCCAATGTTTATATAGTTCGAATAATGATACTTGAATCATTACATTTGCAGGTTGTGCAAGAATTGGCTCATGTATTGATATCATATCATTATCATCGATTGATCTTAGCTTTTCTAAAACAGAGTACCCATAGTATTTGAAAAGTTCATTATCGAATTTATCTACCCATTGTCTGAATATTTTTTCATTTTCATATAGTTCTAATGCCATTCGATTATATTGCGATCCTTGGCCACAAAATACAAAAACTGTAAATGGACTCTTATTTTTAACTGTAAAGTTGGAAAATGTATTTGAATTTGATGATATTTCATTTTTTTTGTCAATGAACTCACTCCAGTTTTTTGCAATAATAACTGATCTTTGAACAAGAGATGTTGATTTATATTTGATTTGATTGTTTGCAAATTGATTAAAATCAAATGTGTCTGATTGATTGATAATTATTTTTTTATAATTATCTAATGATATTGATGAGTTGGATGAAAATGGTATTAAATACTTTTTTATTATTTTTGAGTTTTGACCTTTTTTAATAGTGTAACCTGATAAAATAATACAGCAATTTGAACCTATATTAAAAATAATTAGTATTTTATGTATCTAATTTAATCTAATTCACTAATACACTTACCAGTAATACCAAAGTTATTAATTGCCATAACAGTATTTTTATTGTTATCGAATGGTGTTGGTTCAGTTACAACTTTTAGACGCCATTCTTCAAATTTGATATCAGGATTTGGTGATTTAAAGTTGATATTTTGAACAAACGATTGGTTTTTAAACATGACACAACATTTGATTAAGGCTATTACACCTGATGATGCTTCACCATGACCAATATTTGATTTAATTGAACCAATTAAAACTTGTTTGTCCGTATCTTTGAATATTCTTGAAATACCTTCTAGTTCTATTGGATCTCCAGTTGGTGTACCAGTTCCATGACACTCAACATAATCAACATCTGATGCATTTATTTGACCATTGGTAGATTCGATTGCTGATTTAATATTTTCATATTGTGATGATTTTGATGGTGAATAAAAGTTTGATTTATCATAGTTACCATCTACATTTGAACTTGAGCCTTTGATAACACAATAAATGTTATTACCATCTTTGATTGCTTGTTCTAAACTCTTCAACACTACAACTCCAACACTCTCTGAACGCACATAACCATCAGCATCTGATGAGAATGAGTGACACCTTCCAGTTGGACTTAATAAACCTAACTGGGTAAATGATTTTGAAAAATGAGGATCTTTGAAATAAAATAAAAAATCATGTTAGAATTTCTTTTTAAAATAAAATATAATTTAAAAATCTTTTAATAAATACCAATAATAAAATTAACACCACCTACGATAGATAAATCTGAAATTCCCTCTTTAATTGACTTGTAACCAAGGTTAATAGCATTTAATGATGAACTACATGCAGTATCAATAGTAAGTGACTCTCCACGAAAATCGAAGCAATATGATATTCTATTGGCAACTGAATGAGATGTGGATCCGAAAATATTACTTTGAGTTTCAAAAGGAGATTTGTTTATAGTATTATAATCTATAGTAGAAGAACCCATAAAAGTACTTGTGTTTGAACCTCTTAATGTTATTGGATCTATTCCACTATCTTCTAATGCTTCCCATGTACATTTTAAAAGCATTCTTTGTTGAGGATCGATAGAACTGACATTTTCATCATTTGGATGGATACCAAAGAAAATAGGGTCAAAAGATTTCCATTCATCAAGTGGAATAAGACCAGCATATTTACAAATGATATCACCTGTAGCAGCATAGTTATCAGACCATCTTTCAGATGTTTCTACGATACCATTGAATCCACTCGATAACCCATTCCATAATTCATTTGTATTTGAAATTGATTTTGTTAAATCTCCACTTGGAACTCTAAAACCAACACCAATAACTGCAACATCCCCATTATTTCTTTCATAACTTTTATTTCTATCTTTTATTTCCATTATTATTATTAAAAAAATATAGTAAGTAAGTAAATTAAAAAAAAAAAAGAAAAAGAAAAAAAAAGAAAATATTTAAATATAAATTTTTTTTTATTATTAAAACCTTTGACTTATTTTTATTGGATAAATATTAAACTACGTACTTTTTTAAATCGTAAGATTCATATTTAATTTTGAAATTATTGTAAATTCCTCTTATCTTTAAAATGTATCGCGTGAAATATTATATTTTTAAAAAAAAAAATTTAAAAAAAAAAAATAATAAAAAAAAAAAAAAAAAAATTATTAAGATTTTGTGGGAAAAAACAAAAATAATATGACCACCAAATCTATCCCCTCCACACATATTTATTAAATAATCTAATAATAATTCAAATAATTATTATAAAAAAGATAAAAAAAAACCCCATTTGTTGGAATAATTTAAAGATTTTGTTTTAATAATATATTTTATTTTTTGTATTTATTCGGAAATATTAGGATTTATATTATTTATAATTGTTTGATCATTAGTTTCCCATTATTTTTCATCATATGAACCAATTGATTTTAATAATTGTTTGGTTTTATTTGACATTTTGAGTTTGGTAATAATTTCTATCGTTTGTGAAATTTTATTGTTTTGTAGTTGTTGAATGGTAATTAAATTATGTCCAAATTGATTATCTATCCAGTTTTTTAATTGAACTTGCATTAAACTATCAGATCCATATTGTGTCATTTGGAGATCTAGATTTATTTTTGATTCATCTATTGATAATAGTTCTGAAATCTTGTTTATAATTGATTGTTTCATGCTTTCATCATTATCACCACTTATTGAATTGATTGATTTATTTGTTTTTCTAATCATATTTGTTTGATAATCAAGTTTAGAAAGGTGATAGTTTGATTTATTTGATTGTAAGTTTTCAAAATCGAAATCTGATAAACAATAATTTGAATATTTGCTATTATTTTGAATGAATAAGTCTAAAGAGCTTAAAATTAATTGTGGTGAAATTAGTTTAAATAATGAACTATGGAACATTGTTTCGATTGCATCATTTCTTGAAACAACACCAGTTGATGATATTGCACCTAAATTAACTGATAATGATGGTAATCCAATGGACATTCTGTATTTTGATAATGAATCAGTTACATTACAAGCGCTAACATAACAACATTGTCTTTCTATAGAAACAATTGATGAAGCAGATGATGCCATTAAAAATTGTTTTATTTTCCATGAACGTTGAATTGATTCATTATGTAAATTGATTGCACCAATTGTTTTTGCACCATGTGCAATATTTAAACGATTCATATCGATATCTCGAACATCACCAATATCGTTTACAAATGCAAAATGCATTACTGTATCGATATTTGTAATGTTTGAATTGGACTCTAGTTGGTTTATTACATTTTGAATTTCGGTGCTATCTTCAATATCGATTTGATTAAAGTGGAATTTAATTGTATTATCTTTTTGATGTTTAGTTTGATTGATTAATAGTTCTAATTCCCATTTTAATGGTGATCTTGATAGAATTATAATATTATCGATTGATTTGTTTGAATATTTAACAAGCCATTTCATTATTTCTAATATAATACCTGTTTGACCTGTTACTAATACGTTTTTACCAATATCTAATCTTGATATATCATAACTGCTCTTCATTATTACCGAATCATTTTGTTGTTGTTCATTGAGTACCTTTAATAACATATCAGTATCATGGTTTACTACGATTTTGCCTATATGTTGTCTTTGATTGATATATTCTAGTGCATTTTTGAATTGACTATTTGAATACTTAATGATTGGAATTGGTTCTAATTTGTTTGAATTGAACATTTTAACTATTTTTTTTAAATAATATTTAAATAATGATCCTGAAAACTCTACAAGCTCTACATTATTATATCCATAGTTGTATTTAAAGTGATTGTTTGTCATATAATCATTTGGTGTTAAATGTGTAATTGAAAGATCTACAATTCTTCCATGGCTATTTAAACATTGGAAATTTGAATCCATATATTCTGATGATAATGTATTTAATATTAAATCTACACCTTGATGATCTTTGTCACATTCCAGCTCTAATAATTTATTTTTTATTTGTTCAACATAGTTTTTATTTCTTGATGAATAGATACCAGTAATAAATGAGCCATATTTATTGATCAAGTATTGTTCTTTATCTTTTGAACCAACTGTTAAAAATATATAACCTTTGTGTTGTTTATACTTTAAAAGTTCTAATGAGGATAGACCGACACCACCTGTTGCTGAGTGAATTAAAATTGTTTGATCTGATTGTAAATTACCAGTATAGAATATACTGTGTAATGTTGTAACATAAATCGATGGGATAGATGCTGCTTGTACATAGTTCATATTATTTGGTTTATAATATGAATATCTGTAATCTATAACTACATGTGATCCACTAGTTTTCGAAGCTATACCAAATACTTCATTACCAACTTTTAATTTTTTTACATTGCTTCCACAACGAGTTATAATACCACTAAAGTCATTACCAATATTAGGAATTTGGTTTGCACCATTTTCAGATTCTTCTTCTTTACCATAATTGAGGTCAAGATTGTTTGATATTTGACCAATATACATTAAATAGTCTTTATAATTGATACCAGTACCTTTAACTTCGATTTCGATTTCATTTGGTTTTAATTGTTGTTTTTTAGTTTTTAATACATATTCTAAATTTGGATCAAGTTGAACCATTAAGTTGTCTTTGTTTGTTTCAAATGATTCAGATTTAAATGTTTGTTTAAATTTGCTTTGTTTTTTATATCTTTCATAATAAACTGTGTTATTTGTAATTGTAAATTCTCTTTGAATATTTGATGTTGGATTTATTAATATATCGATAAGTGATAGTATGTTATCATTTTGAAGTGAAATATTATCAAAGTTTAATGTGAATAGATTTAATTGTGGAAATTCTACAAAATATCTTGCAGCACCAACGATTGATGATGATAAGTAGTTATCAGATGTTGAGTTTACTGATATTATAACATGTGTAAAGTAATCTGAAAGTTCATGTTGAAGTATGCTTTGATTAATTTGAATGTATTCGAATGTTATCTCTTTAAAGTTGGTTACATCTAATGTATCAATTGTTTTCATAAACATTATTAATGTTTTACATTGTTTAATTGAATCGATTGATTGTTGAAGCCAATGTTTAAACTCTTTGAAACTGTTCATTTGATGTATTTTGGTTTTTAATTGATTATTTGATTTAAATAATTGGTTGATTTTATAATTATCACTATTTCCAAATAATATGATGTTATTGAATGATGTCAATTGTTCCATTGATTCTGTATTTGATAAAACTGTTTCATTTATTGATGGTTTTCTTGTTTGAATTAAAAATACTTGGTTATCATTACCAGACATTATTGTATCTTTATAATTACATTCATCTAATAGTTTGTACCAACTTGATTGTTCCATACAACATCTATCTTTTCTAATTTCTATATCTTCTGTTGATGGCCACCATTGAGAGAATCCACCGAGTGCAGAATCAAATATTATTGATTTATATGGTGGTTCAATATAAATTAATTGGCCGTTTGGTGTTAAAATATTATAAATTTCATTTAAACTGAATTTAAGTTGTTTTACAACATGTAATACATTTGACATTATAACCATATCATAATATGATGGTTTTAATTCTTGATCAATGAATTCTTTTTCTAAATCGAGAACACGATAAATAATATTGATTCCTTTAATATTTGAAAACTTTTCTTTGATGTCAGTAAAAAATGATGCAGAAATATCGCTCCAAGTAAACTCAATATCAATGTTTGATGATGGATTGTCGACTAATAGTTTATTAATCTTTTCAAGGACAAGAATTGACAATGAGCCTACACCACCTCCGAATTCTAATATTCTGAATACAATTGGTTCATTAACAATTGGTTTGATAGTTTCTAATATTATTTCACTTAATAGATTGTTTAATGGTTGAACAACTTTTGATGTTTGGTAATATTCTTCTAAAAACCCACCATCAAAAAGGGATTGAGCTGTGTCAGTGTATGGGTCATCATTTTCTAATGGGAATATTTGTTTTGCCATTATTTTGGTGGTTCTTTCAAAAAGTTTTTCATTTTTATTAGGTTGTATATCGAATAGGTTTATTTGTTTTATATTTTCTAATTCGTTATATTTTTTTAAATTTTCGAAAATAAAAATAAAAAAGTTTTCATTTATTGATTCTCTGTAATAAAGTTGTTTAAATTGGTTGTAATCGATTGTTGATAATATATCATTGTTGATATCTGGACATCTTTGATTGATATGTGTATAAAAGAGTGATAATAAATGTTCATTTGATATTAATTCACTATCTTCATCTTTGACACTTAGTTCATCAATTTGGTATAAATGTTTGAATGATTCTGGTTTGTTAATTACAGAGTCTTTTGATTGTTGATATGGAGTGTAGATTTCATTTGATGGTGGTGGAATAATTAGTGTGTTGTCGATGATTGGTGTAAGTGATGTGCAAACAATATTTTTAATATCAACTAATAATTTACCGTCGCTAAGCATTATTTGAATTGATCCAGAGTATGAATATGAGTCAATTCTTGATTTCATTTCAGAATATACATATAATTCAGATTGTTGATTATTTGGTGGTATATTTGCTGAAAAATATCTCAATCCTTCGATTCTATCTAATACAATTTGACATTGATGTTTAATGAAACTTAGCATACCATGTAGGCATGAATCTAGTATTGCAGCATTAAAGAATGATTTCATTGAATCGTTTTCAAGTAAATGATTAAATTCATTTTGATTTTGAATTTCATTTAATGAAACAATTGAAAGTGAACAACTATCTCCAATATAACACTCTTTGACAGCTTGGAATAGTCCTTTATAAGTTAATCCAGTTTTGATTTTAATTGATTCATAAAGATCAGATTTGGATAGTTTGGTGAAATTACATTTGGTTTTTAATTTATCAATATTTATTTTGTTAATTTCATTACCATGTTTGAATAGACTAAAGTTACCAGTGGAGCATAATACCCATTGATTTGTTGTTGTATCTTTGAAATGAGATTTGACATTGTATTCATTCTTTGATAGTGTGTTGATTGTTGTTTGTAAACATTGATTGACTCCATCTTGTAAGATTAATGGTGTTCTAAATTCGATATTATTGATTGTAATATCTTGATTTGGATAAATGTTAAATAAATTTATAACATATCCACATCCTGGGAAGTAGTATTTGCCTTTTACTTGATGTCCTTTTAACCATTGGAATGGTAGTTTTTTAGTATTAATAAATGTTTGATATGATTTAAATGGTAATTCATTTGTATTACCAAGATGTTGAATTGGAGGTCCTTCTTTTTTAATCTTTTCATATGTTGAATTATTTTTGAAATACATTTTATCATCCCATTGATATAGTGGTAAGCAATTGACTGAAATGTTGCCGATAATACTATTGTTGTTATCTATTTGTGATTTAAAATTGATATTAAATGAGTGGTTTACATAAAGTGTTGAAATTGTTTTTAAAAACTCATCATAGTCATTTTTCTTTTTGTGAAGTGGTGAATGAATAGTTATTTTATCTCCATTATTGAAATATGGTGATTGTTTTGATTTCATTTGATTTAAATAGAATGATAGTGTTGGATGTGGTGCAACTTCGATAAATGTTACTTCGTTACCATAGTTGTTTTCTTCAATGTATTTGTATATGTTTGAAATGGTTTGAGTGAATCTTACTGGTTGTAAAACATTTTCAAATACATATTCTGAATTGAATGGTGTTGTTTCGTGATTAAATAGGTTGGTTGTGACTGTTGAAAAAACAGGTGTTGTTGATTGATTTGATTTAATTTTCATTGAACATATTTCATCTTTAATAACTAATTGGCTGGAAGTATGGAGTGATGATAATGTTCCAAGCATTGCACAAAATATATCTTTTGATTTTAAATCAACAACAATTTCATCTAATAAATGTTCTTTACCAGCGATTACAATTGATGATGGTGAGTTATAGCAAGCAATGTTTACTGTTGGGTATTTTGATGAATAATTTGAAATATATTCTTCGGCACTTATATTAACAGATAACATTCTACCAGTACCAGTTGTTTTATTTTGAGCAATGGATCTGTTGTATACTAAATAACATAATGTTTCAAAGTCAATCATACCAGAGCAATATGATGCCGATATTTCACCAAGAGAATGACCAACGATTAAATCTGCTTTGATACCCCAGTGTTTGTATAGTTCGAATAATGATACTTGAATCATAATATTTGATGGTTGTGCAATTGTATGAGCATGTACTGATTTCATATCATTATCATCGAATGATCTTAGCTTTTCTAGAACAGAGTACCCATAGTATTTGAAAAGTTCATTATCGAATTTATCTACCCATTGTTTGAATATTATTTCATTTTTGTAGAGTTCTAATGCCATTCGATTATATTGTGATCCTTGGCCGCAAATAACAATAACTGTAAATGGGCTCTTATTTTCAATTGTAATATTTGAAAGTGTATTTGCTTTTGATGATATTAGATGGTTTTGTTTATCATTAAATTCATTCCAATCACTTGCAATAATAACTGATCTTTGAACGAGTGATGTTGATTTATATTTGATTTGATTATTTGCAAATTGATTAAAATCTAATATGTCTGATTGATCCATAATAATTTGTTTGTATCTATCAAGTGAAGTTGATGAATTGGATGAAAATGGTATTAAATACTTTTTATTTATTATTTTTGAGTTTTGACCTATTTTTATAGTGTAGTCTGATAAAATAATACAGCAATTTGAACCTATATATAAATAATTAGTATTTTATTTAATTAAATCTAATTTAATATATTTAACTAGAATACATACCAGTAATACCAAAGTTATTTATAGCCATAACAGTGTTTTTATTACTATTGAATGGTGTTGGTTCAGTTACAACTTTTAGACGCCATTCTTCAAATTTGATATCAGGATTTGGTGATTTAAAGTTGATATTTTGGGCAAATGATTGGTTTTTAAACATGACACAACATTTGATTAATGAAATTACACCTGATGATGCTTCACCATGACCAATATTTGATTTAATTGAACCAATTAAAATTTGTTTGTTTGTATCTTTGAATACTTTCGAAATACCTTCTAGTTCTATTGGATCTCCTGTTGGTGTACCAGTACCGTGGCATTCAACATAATCAACATCTGATGCATTGATTTGACCATTGGTAGATTCGATTGCTGATTTAATATTTTCATATTGTGATGATTTTGATGGTGAATAAAAGTTTGATTTATCATAGTTACCATCTACATTTGAACTTGAGCCTTTGATAACACAATAAATGTTATTACCATCTTTGATTGCCTGTTCTAAACTCTTCAATACTACAACTCCAACACTTTCTGAACGTATATAACCATCAGCATCTGATGAAAAAGAGTGGCACCTTCCAGTTGGACTTAACATACCTAACTGGGTAAATGATTTTGAAATATGAGGATCTTTCAAAATAAAAAATCATGTTAGAATTTCTTTTAAATTATAATTTAATTAAAAAACTTTTGATACATACCAATAATGAAATTAACACCACCTACGATAGATAAATCTGAAACACCATCTTTAATTGACTTGTAGCCAAGGTTAATTGCAATTAACGATGAACTACATGCAGTATCGAGGGTAAATGATTCGCCACGAAAATCAAAACAATATGATATTCTATTGGCAATCGAATGAGTTGATGAGCCAAATATGTTACTCTGAGTTTCTAATGGAGACCTGTTGATTGTAGAATAATCATTAGTAGAAGAACCCATAAAAGTACTTGTGTTTGAACCTCTTAATGTTATTGGATCTATCCCACTATCTTCTAATGCTTCCCATGTACATTTTAAAAGCATTCTTTGTTGAGGATCGATAGAACTGACGTTGTCATCACTTGGATGGATACCAAAGAAAATAGGGTCAAATGATTTCCATTCATCAAGCGGAATAAGACCAGCATATTTACAAACGATATCACCTGTAGCAGCATAGTTATCAGACCATCTTTCAGATGTTTCTACGATACCATTGAATCCACTCGATAAACCATTCCATAATTCATTTGTATTTGAAATTGATTTTGTTAAATTACCACTTGGAACTCTAAAACCTACACCAATAACTGCAACATCCACATTATTTCTTTCATAACTTTTATTTCTATCTTTAATCTCCATTATTATAAAAAATAAATAAAGTTAGTAAGAAAGAAATATTTAAATATATGAAAATTTTTAAAATAAAATTATTTAATTTTTTAAACTTACCTTTATTGAAATATTTTAATAAAAATTTAATAGATACTACATTCCTTATTAATAAGATTAGTAAACTGTTTTAAATATTATCTTCCAATCTTGTAATATGATTTTATAAAAAAAAAATATATTTTTTCCCCCTAACACCATCTTTAAAAAAAAAATTTATATGTAATTATGTTAAGTCAAAAAAATTTGAAATGCAAATTTACGGCATTATATCTTTATACTCCTATTTAATTATCTAACGATTGGTATAATCAATATTTATAAAGATTAAAAAACTTCCATTTTTTCATAAAAATATATTTAACCACTATCTACCACATTTTATAAGATTATTCAAATAATAATTTAAAAAGAAAAATAATCCCCATTTGGTGGTATATTTAAACTGTTTGTTTTTATTAGGAAATATTATGATTTATATTATTTTTAATTGTTTGATCATTAATTTCCCATTATTTTTCATCATATGAACCAATTGATTTTAAAAATTGTTTGGTTTTGTTTGACATCTTGAAACCTTTTTCAACTGAAATATCTGAAGTAAAAGTTCTTTGGTTTTGATTGTGATGTATATTGTATTTGATACATGATTTATGATTTGATTGCGAAACTAACTCTTGCCATTTTTCAAATTCTATTTCTTCACAGTTATATATTGCTTTAATTTCAACAGAATCACCATTTAAAGAATAATTGAATTAATGTGGATATTATCCAATAACACTAGAAACTTGAATCGATAAGTGGAGAACGTCATTTGAATGACCTATATCGGTTTCAGGATTTGACCAGATATCCAGTAAACGAATTGTTAATGATGGAATACCTCTTGATTTTTCTGCATATGTCAACAGACGTTCTGTGATTACTTTTGTTGTATATTTCCTGTTGATGTACTTCCAAATCTTGGTAATATTGTAACTTCATCAATATTTTAAAATATCTAGTTGTTTGATAAATTGATTATTGTTATTTGTTGATTGTTAAAGTCTAATTCTATAATTGAATCGATATTGGATATCCTATAAATTGATTTTTAATTATAACTGTTCCATTGTTATTGGTTTCTGTTTCTGCTTGATTATTATTATTGTTATTAATTGGTGATGAACAGTCGAAACCTGTGTATTCTGAATTACATTTGCAAATGTACCTGTTGTTGTTTTATCGCATATTCCATGTTTATGGTATTTATATGAACATTCTTTTTCTGTGGTATAATATGGATATATGTTACCACTCTATGTGATTGTATATTTTGTGAAATTGACTTTTATTGATCCAATATTGCCTGTTCCAATTGTTGTTTTGATTGATTCTGATGATAATATATTATATTTAATTTGACACCAATCGATTCTAAATATTTAGAATTTTCTGTGAAGGACATTAAACTAAAAATATATATATAGTTTATAATAAAATAATTCATAATGGTGGTGCGGTTATATTTTTAGAAAATAAATAAAAAAAAAAAAAAAATAAAAAAATTAATTTTGAATTTTTTTTTTTTTATTAACTTTATCGTCATTTTTTTAAATCCACTTAAAATATTAATTATAAATAATTACTTTTATATATTCAACCAAAAAATTAAAAAAAAGGATCCGTCAATACATTTTAATTATATTTGGTTAATTTAGAAAAGATTTCAAACAAGATGGTTTTTAAATAATAAAAAACAATAAAAATTTATATTATAAAAAAATTTAAATAAGCTTTTAAAATTAAAGATCTTTATTTTGATAATGAATATAAAATTAACAAGAGATGGAGAATTTTAAATTCTATATATTAATAATAAGTGATAAAATTGATGATGAAGGTGGACCCGGATCTGTTAAGTGCATATTAATGTCATTTGGTCGATGAATGAATAGAGTTGGATGGATTGCTTTTCTTATTTTTATATTACATGATTATTTTAATGATTATTATTCCATATTAATATTATTTACTCTATTATCTTTTTCCTTGTCTGGATTTTCCTTGAATTTTGAATTATTATAATATAATCTATATACATTATTATTGTTATTTGTTTTGTTATATTATTATCATTTTTATTTCATTATTATCATTATCGTTATTATTTATATTTATATTACTATGTGTTGAAATAAAAAGAATTCGAATCTTAATAAGTTTTAAAAATAAATATTAGTTTAAATATAATAATAATTATATTAATATTAACATTATAAATACCTTTAAAGTACAAATACCCTAATGAATGACCTGAAAACCACAATTAATAAGAATGAAGTAAACCCGAATGAATAATGGGTGACTTGAAAAACCACCCCAATGTTTGATAAATGACTAAAAAACCCAATTAAAAAGAATAAACTAAACCCAATGTATGAACGATTTGAAAAAACCACAGCTTTTGATGAATTAAAAAAACCCACAATGTTTGACGAATTAAAAACCACAGCGTTTGAATAACTTAATAAACCCACAATGTATGATGAAAGATTTGAAAAAACCACAGCGTCTGAATGACTTAATAAACCCGCAATGTATTTGAAAAACAACCCAATGAATGATGAATGACTTGGTAACCCCGATTAAAAAGAAAATACTGAACCCCAAATGTTTGATGAGTGACCTGAAAAAAACCCAAGTGTTTGATGAATTACTTGAAAATTACAATTATAAAGAAAATACAGAACCGCGATATAATGGAATATATGGAACCTCCAATGTATGAATAATTGCTCGAAATAAATAACGTATTGAAACTGAAAAAGAAAGAATTGAATCTGAACTAAATAAATATTAAAATTAGATATTAGTTTCTTTTATATTCAAATTTAATAATAATTATGTAAATATTAACATTATAGTTACCTTAAAATTATGAATATCCCAATGTAGACTAGATAGAACGTGTGAAGCTTGAAAGAGAATGAATTAAACTAAATATGAATTAAATATTAGTATTTTTATATTCGAATTTAATTTATGCAGTTATAAACACTATAATTACCTTAACTATATAAATGACATTATAGAAAGAACATGGTTATACTGAAGAGAAAAAACTTGATAATAATGTGAGAGAAAGAATTATAAACTATATAATAATTAAAAACAAATATTAGTTTCTTCTATATTTAAATATAATAACTATGTAAATATAAACACTATAGCTACCTTAATAAAATAAATGCCTAGAATTGACATTATAGAAAGAACTTGATACTGTGAGAGAAAGAATTATAATGATACTATAATAATTAAAATTAAATATTAGTTTCTTTTATATTTAAATATAATAATTATGTAATTATAAACACTATAGTTACCTGAATAATATTAATGCCCTATTACTGACATTAAAGAAAGAGAATGGTTACACTGAAGAGAAAGAACCTGATGATACCGAGAGAGAAAGGATAATAATTATACTATATAAAAATTAAAATAAAATATTAGTTTCTTTTATAATAATATTTTAATATATATTAATATTATAGTTACAATATGATGAGAACTTGTTAATGGAACCTTGAGAACTTTTTGATCATTATTTTGTAGAGTTGAAGCTATTGATTAATTATTTACTAGTATACTGGAGAAAACGATGAGAATGTGGTCCACTGATGATGTTTTCGGTTTAACCTTTAATGATTTACTAATTAATACTACGTTTCCTTATGGATGGTATATTATTGATCTATGTCAATGTAATCATAGAATTAGTGGCCAGCTAATTCTTGATACATATTCATGAAATCTAATAATTACCATTTGAAACGGTAATGGAAATCTATTCGATATCCATTTGGTCAAACAATTCCAAATCGATATTGGGTTCGTTGGAATTTGTATCATCATTATTTAAATTGGTGGACTTTGATCACCTTGCTCTATATTTGCTTCGTTTATTGAACCATTGACTCTCTAAAATTAAATAATAAATTAAATTAATATATATGTTTTATTTATTATGTATAAAATATGAATGTATGAATTACTTACTCTTACTGAAAAGAATGGAGCTCTACAATTTGGACAGGTGTTATCACGACGATAAGACCATTCCATAATGCAATCGTAACAAAACATGTGGTTACAATCGATTGCTGTAAGTTGGATTGGTTCAATTCTGTCCATACAAATAGTGCAAGGATCTTGGTTTTCTCTACGTTCTGCTTCTTCTCTTTCTTGTTGTTCTCTTTGTTGTTGTTGTTCTCTTTCTTGATTTTCTCTTTCTTCTCTCTCTTGTTGTTCTCTTAATTGTTGTTCTCTTTCTCTTTCTCTTTCTTCTCTTTCTTCTCTTTCTAATCTTTCTCTTTCTAATCTTTCTTGTCTTTCTAAATCTTCTAAACGTACCCTTTCCATTGCTCTTTGTAATGTTTCTTTTAATAATGTTTGGGTACGTTCTAATTGTTGCTCTCTTTCTTTTTTTTCTCTTTCTTTTTGTTCTTTTTCTTTTTTTTCTCTTTCTTTTTTTTCTTTTTCTATTCTTTTCTTTTCTAAAGCTTCTCTACGTTCTTGAATTTCTTTTTCTAGTCTTTCTTTTTTTAATCTTTGTCTTTCCAAAGATTCTTTATGTTCTCTTTCTTTTCTTTCTTTTTCTAATTTTCCAATACGTTCTTTTTCTTGGGTTTCTCTTTTTAATTGTTCCATATATTCATTTTCTTTTTGTTGTTCCCTTTTAAAGATTTCCATATTTTCTTTTTCCATTCTTTCTCTGGTATGGTCGAATGGTGAGTATGGAAATACATTTTCTGGTTGTGATGGTTCCTTTGGGGCATGGTGTTTTTCAAGAAATTGTTTTGGGGAATGACTTAAAATTTCTTGAGCTACTGCGGAACGACCAGAATTGTCTTGACTATTATAATGTTCGGAACAACAATATATGTTTCTGTATGCGGAATAATGGAATGTTGAGGTACTATCATAATTATTTTTTTCTTTTGCGGATTGATCGAATGGGGTTGAATTTGTGGCTTCGTTAATTTTGTGGTTGTTGATGTGGGTGTCGCTGTTGATTTGGGTGTGGTTATTGATGTTGGTGTGGTTATTGATGTTGGTGTGGTTATTGGTTTGGGTGTGGTTATTGGTTTGGGTGTGGCTATTGGTTTGGGTTTCGTGTGGGGTGGAACGGAAAATAATATTAAAAATTATTAATGACCAAATAAAAATAGCAAATAAAATTGATTCTAACATTTTTTTAATTATTGAGTGAATATAAAAAAATGAAAGTTATTATGGAATGTGAAATATAATTGCTATTATTTAAAACTTTTTTTTTGATATTATATACTATGTGAAACTATATACAAATAAATTTTTATTTTTTATTTAATTAAAAAAGAAATTTTTTTATTTTTTTTTTAATTAATATTTTTTTGTGTGGGTCTGTAAAAACAAAAAAAAAATTTAAAGAAATTTAAAAAAAAAGTTGTTATATTAACTTTATATAAAACAATGTTTATTTTATTATAAAATTTAAAAAAATTGTGTTTTTTTTTTTTTTTTTAAAAAATTGAAACTTATATGATGTCTTATGTGTCATTGAAAATGTGTCATACATTATCAATTTTATAATAAAGAAATTATAATAGAAGTATGAACTTCAACCACCTTGTGTGTTGATTTATTTTTTTTTTTTTTTTTTTTTTTTTTTATTTATTTATTTATAATGACAATCAAATAAAAAATGGAAATTGAATAAATTATTATTTTTTATAAAAAATTACATATATCATTATTACATTTTATTTACAATTTAAAAAAAAATTAACACAATAAGCTTCAAAATAACTATTACTTTACTATAAAATTTCTTTTTCATTTTATTTGTGTGTATATTTTTTTTTTTTAATTTTTATTTAAATAATTTCACATTAGACAAATTGAAGCTGCCATCTTATTTTGTCCTTATATGACTCCAATAGTACCGATTTCAGTTCAGATTAAAAAAATAAAAAATAAAAAAATAAAAGTAAAAAAATTTTAAATAATAATTTATTTTTATAAAATATATTATTTGAATTTAATTTCAAAAGTACTAATCTGAAAAAAAATAAAATAAAAAAATAAAAAAATAAAAAAAGTAATTTATAATTGATTTAAAATAACTTTTATTGTTGTTTATTGTTTATTATTTCTTTTTACCACCTCTCTCTTTAACGCTTAAATTGATAGTGGAGTTTGATTTTAAATTATAATAAGCTATTGTACAAGTATCTTTTAATACTGATAAACCTGCTGCTTGTAATTTTTGTTTGTTGGTTGCCATACCATTAATATCTTTGATTTTTTCTTTGAGGGTAGAGATTAAATCGGTTGGATGGACTGTAAGTTGGAATGTTTTCTCTGGTGATTCAATATTTAATGTGACTGGGCCTGGATTGGCTTGAAGGAATATTTGCTCGGGTATTAAGTTTTCATCTTTTTTAACTTTTTTAGAGTTTGGTTCTTCGAGAATCATATTAGATGGAGGTGGGGGTGGCATCATACCTGGAATACCAAAAGGTGGAGGTGGCATCATACCTGGTATACCAAATGGTGGTGGTACCATATTTGGTGGCATACCTACACCTGGTGGTACAATAGGCTGTTGTTGTAAATGTGGTAGCAATGATTGTGGTGGCAATTGCATTTGTGGTTGTTGTAAATGATGATGTGGTTGGTGTGGGATGGTTGCATGTTGTGGTGGTTTTGGTTGTGGGGTCTGTTGTTGATGTTGTTGTTGTTTTTGTTGGCTTGCAGCCATCATAGCAGCTTGAACTTTAGGAATACTGCCAGAGTGACCATCCCAAATAATTTTTTGTGGTTGATCTTGTGGTTCTTGTGGTCTTTTTGAGCCGTCGACTTCACCAAAGATATCAGATCTTTTACTTGCAAAGGATTGGAGATTTCTAGCGATATCTTCATCTTGGGTAAGAGTATTCATCATAACACCACCTTGAGAACCGCCGCTCTTATCTCTTTGTTGTTTTTGAATTAATTCGATTCTCATGTGCTCTTGCATTTCGTCTAATGGGATCTCTTGTTTACAGAAATGACAGATTTGGGTACGTTTTGGTTGATTTTGTGGTTTGGAAACTGTTTTTTGATAATCTTTGACAATTTTTAATTTGGATTGGTCTACTTTATTGGATGATGATTGTTCAGGTTGCTCTGGTTGTTCGTCTTGGTCCATATCGTCTTCGCCCATGTCCATCTCTACATCCATTTCAACATCTTGGTTATCATTTTGATCCTCTTCAACGCCCAATATATCACCGTTTAATAACTGTTCAAAGGTCTTTGGTGGTGGTAAATCTTCTAAATCCTCTTCGTTAAACTCTATAGTATCTACAATAACAAAATCGTGCCAGTCAATCGATGCAATCATTGATTTCTCTTCATCTTCTTTTTCCTCTGCTTTTTGTTTCTCTAATTCGATCTTTTGATTATATTCGAAACGGTTCATTGAACGCTCTAAAATAACTTGTTTATCTGTAAATTCTGGTGTTTGTAATTTCTCTTTGATATTGGCTGGTGGATATATAACATCACTGTATGACTCAACCAATGCTCTGAACCATTCATATAAATGATTAGTTGGTTTTAAAAAATCAAATTGATTATTCTTTGATTCACGATTTAATAATTCATTATAAAAACTCTCACCATTCTTTGCTATAAACTGTGCTGTTAATCTAATTGTATCCCTATAAAATTATAATTTTAATGATTTATTAGTAATCTATTCAACAATAATTTGATTTCTTAATATTATAATATTCACTTACAATTCTAATGGTGTCATAAAATCTGGAACATCTAAAATATATAATAATGGATCTGGTAGTGTTGGTTCTTTTTTTGGTGGTGGTGGTGGCGGGGATTGTTGTTGTGGTGGTTGTTGGTGTGGCATTAATATTGGGACTGGTGCAATATTTGGTTGATGTGGTGATACAGTTGGAACTGGTGCAATATTTGGTATTGCTGCTGATGCTGTATCGGTATTTGGTTGTGGTGCTACTGCTGGAGTTGTTGATGTTGCTTGTGCAGGTTTTGCAGTAGTTGGTGCTGGGGCAGCAGCTTTGGCTAATGCATCTTTATTTTCGTTGATTTTATTTCTGTAATATGAATAATGAATATCGCCCTCCTTCATAAAATTAAATTTAGGATTGTGACCTTCTTTATTTCTAACTTTAGTTTCGAAACTTTCGCCCAACTTTGCTGCATATTGAGCTGTTTTGTCAATAATATTCTTTAAGTCACCCTCGGGTGTTATTATTTCACTAACCATTTTATTTTAATATTATTTATTATTTATATATATATAATTAAATAAAAAATATTTATATTAAATAAATGTTAAAAGTAAAAAAATGACAAAAATGAAAGAAAAAAGTAATTTATTGAAATTATAATAATTTAAAAAAAATTTAAAAAAAAAAATAAAAAAAAATTTAAAAAAAATTAAAAAAAATATTTTTTTATTTTTTTTTATTTTTTTTTTTTTTATGAAATATCAACAATAAACTTATCTAATTTATAAATTACATATAAATAAATAATAAATTAATAAATTATATATATAATCTATTATCAATATTTATTTTTATTTTATAACTTATTGTTAAAAAATGAGTGCACCACCTAGACTTAGTGCAAGAACCTCGATTTTGGATCAAAAAAAAAATGCAGCAAATACATCATCAACACAATTAAAGTCAAGCAGTGGTATATCATCATCCACACCAAGTGGTACTAGTAGTATTGGCAGCAGTAGTGGATTGAAATCAAGCGGTGGATTTTCAGCAACCTCCTCAACCTCATCAAGCCCAAATATATCAAAAAGAAATTCTGCAAATTTATCACAGCAATATCAACAATCGACCACATTATCATCACCACCATTTAAAAGTCCAACAAATGCCCCTTCACCATCCTCTTCCTCACCATTTTCATATTTTTCAAAACAAACATCGGCCCAAAATTTAGCAATGTTAATGTTAAAAAACCAACAACAGTCATCAGCACAAAATCAATTTGGTAAAGGTCATTCTAGAAAACCATCCTCAGCAAGCACAAGATGGGGTTCAAACATTCCAAGCTATCAAGATTATGTCGATGAACAATTATTTTATAACTCTCCAACAGAGCAAGACGATGAAGAATTTGATCACATTAGAAATTTATTAAATTCCGAATATTCTGTAACTACAGTACAATCAACAGGTGCATTAAAGAGTAACAATTTGGTAGTTATGAGTTGGAAAAACAATGCAACTATTGAACAAAGCGAACAAGATGAACAAATCGAAAATGACAAACGTGATTTAAATTTCATCAAAGATCAATTAGCTAAAAATAACAGTATGTCAAAACAAATGGTATATATTTTAGACCGTTTCAACGATGGTCTATCTTTACTCGAAAACGAAGTAGCACCAATCAATGCATCGATGAAAGAATGGAGTAGTATTTTCAACAATATCAACTCTACCATGGATATGGTTAAATCAACTCTCGAGAAATTTGATGTAGATAAAATTGAAAGTAAAATTAAAGAAGGTGCCAAAGGAGATTACATTTCGTATATGGCTGCATTGGAACATGTTGGTGGTGCAATCGACTATCTCAATGAACACAACCAATTCAAATCTGCAGATAAAGTTATTAACTCTCTTAAAGACCTCAAACAATTTGGTCTTAACGAACTAGAAAGCAACTTCAAATCATTACTTCTCAAGATTAGTAACATTACAGACCCAACCACCATCCCAAAACTACCCAACTCCAAACGTTATCTTGCCATCATATCACCATCTCTAATTGAAGAAATTTCAAAATCAATAGAACTCTTTGAAAAGCTACACTTTACCTCATTCTTAAAAGAGTATAAAGATAAACGTTCTAAATTTATATTGCTTTCACTTAGAAAAATGGGACCAGAGAAATTTATTAAACAAACTAGCGAAACCAAGAACTTGGCATACGTCAAAGGCTCACACCCCTTAATCTCCTATGTTAGCGAAACCCTTCGTCTTTATCAAATCGAATCAGACTTGGCAAGTGAATTCTTTGGAAACCAATATCATACCATATTAGAGGAAATCATTGACCCAGCACACGAATTATTATTAGAAACCACCGAACCCATTATTAAAGTTAAAAAAACCCCAGGTGACAAGGTATTTAGTATATTCCCACTATTAGATTTATTCGATACTTTTACAACACTTTTACCAGACTTTATATCATCGATTTCTGCCAGAGATGGCAAACACATCTCTGAATTAAAAACTCAAATTAAACATCTTCAAGAAACCTGTGCATCTTTACTAGATTTCTCATTAGAAGACGATAGAGAACAACGTTCCAAAGATAGTGTTATTACCGACGCAACTGTTGATGAAATTTCTTCAAATATGTTAAATTATTTCAAACGTTTAATTGAATATAAATCATCAGTCGAGTTATTATTAAAATCTCAACAATCTGCATCATCATCATCATCATCATCATCATCATCATCATCATCATCGTCTCAAACATTTTATACCTTTTTGGAAAAGATATTAAAAAGTCTTATCAAATATTTACAAACAAGAGCAAAAAAAGATTTCTCTTCCCAACCAGCCACAGATTTCTTCAAGCCACCAATCAAATCTGTTATATTTTTAATAAACAATTATAGATACATAGCGAGCTCATTAAAACAATCAAATATACTTGGCGATAGTGAGAATGTAAACAATAATAATAACAATGCTATACTTCACGAATTTGAAACCTGCTTAGATAATGAAACTAAAGTATTCAATTCATTTTGGAAAACTATTACAGATATTTTAGTAATTACAAAAACCGGTAAAGATAAAGATGATACAAAAGCAGTTATTAAAAAACATACCGTAAGTTTTAAATATAAACATCATTTTAAAATTATGATTTATACTAATATCTTTTTTTTTTTTTTTTTTCAGAATTTCTTAAAAACTTTAAATGATTTAAATAAATTAAAATTCGATATACCCGATTTAGAGTTAAAACAAAAATTAAAAACAGATTCAAAGAATATAATTAGTAAATCATATGATAATTTTAAAGAAGCGTAAGTAATTTTTTTAAAAAAAAATAAAAAAAAACAAACAAACAAACAAATATAGTAAAAATTAAATCATATATTAATACTTTAATATTTTCATTAAATTAATAATACAGTTGTAGATTAGAAAAAATCCATTTAGAAAAAAACTTTACTCCTTTCGAAACTACTGATGATATAAACAGAAAGATTGAAAAAATATTTGACTCCCAATAAATACCTCAATAGTAATTTTATAATAATAACAATAATAACATAAAATAACTATTATTAATAATAAAACTTATAATAAATTTCAAAAATTTATTTTTTTGTTCTTTTAAAATTTAATAGTATGTGTAAAATTAAAGTCAAAAACACCACACCTCAAAAGCAATGATATATATGTACTTTAATCAATTTAAGATATAAAAAGATTTAAAAAAATTAAAAAATAAAATAAAAAAATTTAAAAATAGAACATAACCACACACAACAGCACCCACACACCAACACCACAACTCTTTTCTTTTTTAAAATATCATAATTATCAATATCATTATATCAATTATCATAAAATTTCAATAACAATTAAGTAAAATATTGGTGTGGTATTAATTGTTTTTGTTATTGTTATAAGTGTGTTGTGTGTTAATGTGTGAATAAAGTACTCTCGTTCTCTTTAAAACCCCACCATATACACAAGATAAGAATGTGTATATTTTAGGTTTATCAAAAATTATTAATATAAAAAATTAAGTTTTTTTTTTTATTTTAATTATTATATTATTTTATTTTATTATTTTTTTTAAAACATATTCATTTTTGATGGATTACTAATTTCATTAATAATATTTTTAACTTATTGTTTATTATCTAATTATACTAATAATAATAATAAAAATAATAATTATAATAATTATAGTTTACAGTATAAAGAAATAATAAAAGAATTTAAATTTTAACCCACCCACCCACACTCCAACCCACACAAGTACTCAAATAAGATTATTTTTTTTTATTGTTTTTTTATTTTTTTTATTTTTTTTTGTTTTTTTTATTATTTTTTTTTTTTTTTTAATTATTATTGTGTGTTGACCAACAAAATAATTAATACATATAATATCACATAAATTAGTATTTGTTTTGTGTATGTTTTTATGTTTATGTTTTTTTATATTTAATTTTAAAATACATAATTAATAATTTTTTCATTTATTATCTTTTTTTATTTTTATTTTTTTTTATTATTTTATAAATTATATATCTCAATTTTATAATCACTAATAATTAATATTATATTTTATTTAAATGATGATAGAATAAAATTAATAAATAAAAATTATTATAATAAACCAACCAAAAAAAAAATAATAATCATATGAAAAAATTTAAAATAAAAATATTTTATTAAAATTTTGCAAAAAAAAAAAAAAAAAAAAAAAAATAATAATAATAATCCAAATCATAAATAATCAATAAATATAAAGTTTATTTATAATAAAAAAAAATATTTTTCAAGAAATTAAAAAAAAAAAATAATAAAAAATTAAAAAAAAAAAAAAAAAATTTTTATAATAAATATCAGTTTAATATACCCTCCCATTCCTCCTCTTGTCAAGAATTATTTTTTATTTGTTTGTTTAAAGGCTCAATCAATAATAATACATAATAATCCTATATATTTAAACCCTCTTCAATTTTTAAATTCTTTCTCTCTCTATTTTTTTTTTTTAATAAAAAAGTTAAAACTTCTTATTATCACACAATCATTATAGTTAATAATTAATATTCAGTCGAGAGAGAAAGTGTTTTAATAACTTATAGAGGAATAGAATAAATAGACAATTCATAAACTAATCACAAATTAGATAATCATTAGATTTATAAAAGAAAAAATAAATAATTATGAAAGGTAAAAAATCATTAACAAACTTTTGGAAAGATCCACATCCATCAACAGCAACAGGCAATACAGCAAACAATAGCAATAACGGCGGCAATACTAATACAAATGGTAGCTCACCAACAAAAGTAAAAGAAGGTCAGGTTTTTGGGATACCTCTAAATGATATTTTTAAAAGGTATTCCACTATTAATAATATACCAAATATAGTATGGCATATCACCTCAAACATTAGAGATAATTGTAAGTTTTATATTGATTATAATTGTGAGCATTCTTTTTTTTAAACCTATTAATATGTTTCCATTAATTTAGTTATGGATGTCGAGGGATTATTTAGAATACCAGGATCAAATACAACACTACAACAATTAAAAAAATATTATAATGAAGGAAAAATACAAAACAAAGAGGATTTAAATATTAAATGTGCTGATATTCATACACAAGCAAGTTTATTAAAATTATTTATTAGAGAATTACCCGATCCATTATTCACATTTTCATTATATGACTCATTTTATAAAATCACATTGTAAGTAGAAGAAAAACAATGATGGCATTTTATTGATAGATAGATATTAATATTTCATTAAACCAATATTATAGCCACAAAAGATAAACAAATTAGAGTTGAGTCACTTAAAGCATTATTAAGTCAATTACCAATAGCACATTATTCGCTGTTAAAGTATTTAGCAGAACTATTAAGAGAGGTTGCCACCCATTCAGCAAACAACAGAAGGGCATCAACTAATTTAGCAATTGTTTTCGGCCCCACTGTAATGAGACCCCAACAAGAAGATATTGCAAAAATGATTGAAGATGCAAGACATATAAATGGTGTCTTTTTATTAATTCTCGATGAATATGAATATTTATTTAATGTAATTATTTATTATTTATTATTTATCATTTTATCATATCATGGTTGGTTTTTTTTTTTTTTTTTTTTTGGTGCTAAAACCCCTATTATTTGAAAAACACCCAAAAAAAAAATTAAAAATTATTTAAAAATAATTTTTTTCTTTTTTTTGTGAATATTTTTTAAAAAATTTCAATTTTTTTTTTACACATTGTTGTGTTATTTTTTATATAAATAATTTTTTATAAAACATAAACAAAAAACAGGACATTAATTTTTTTATTTAATTTATTAATTTAATTTTAAACAAAAAAAAAAAAAAAAAAAAAAAACCCACCTAAAAAATTAATTTTTTTAGAACGCAGAATTACCATCATTTGTTACTAGTCCAAACAGTGGATCTCCTTCAAATATTAAAGGTATATTAATAAGTCCAAATAGCAATTCTCCATCACTAGACAACTCCCCTGTATTAACTAAACAACTATCATTCGGATCAACTAATCCAAATAGAAAGGCCGCAAAATTCTTAATTACAAATTATAATGATTTTATTGTAGAAAATTCAGAAGATATTAGTAATAACAATAATAGCACTATTGAAATAAACAATAGTACTGTAGAAACCACCACAATACCCAACAGCATAACACCACAATTAGATAATAATAACAATACCCAACAACAACATACATCAAAACAACAATCACAACCAAATATGCAACCAAATCAACCATTTTTATCGACTTCACCAATGATGAATAATCAAAACAAATTCTCAATTCTTTTGCCTGTAAATAATAAAGAAGGTGCACCATCATCACCAAATCCATATAAAACATTGTCAATAGTATCACCATTACCTCCAGCGTCTCCAAGATCGTCATTAACATTAGAGTATGATATTCATAATGGAAACAATCAAAATAATAACGAATTGATCCGAAATTTAATAAAGAAAACATGTTCAATGCTTTTCGATAAAGATTTACCAAACATTCTTACAAGCTCTTTTGAAATAGTCAAAGATGAAACATTTATACCTGCATTTGATACTGCCCATACCTCTCCTAATAGTGCCGATCTTGGCGCTCAAGTTTCACCACGTTTCCTTAGATCTGCAGGCAATGATGTTTCCTCAAGCAACTCCTCACCTCAACTTCGTTCATTATTAAAAAATAATATAAATAATAATTTAAATGGTCTCAATAACTTACCAACTTTATTGGGAACCCTACAACAATCACAACAGCAATCATCACCACAAGCCCAACAAAATAAAAATGATTTTGATACCATTACAAATAAAAATGAAGAATCCGCCTGTATAATACAAACCAATTCAACTGCTACTATTGTAGCCTCAAGTGCTGCCACCCCATCACTAATTGCACCCAATGTTCCCTCTTCATCATCCTCATCCTATTCAAATCCTACAACAACCTCAACATCATCAGTCTCATCGCAACAACCACCAAACCATATTTCACCAAGCCATCAACAAACTCTATTAGATTTAAATCCATTAGAACAAGCATTTAACCATTTAGAAAAAATTAGAAAAGACTCTAAAAGAGTTTCAGATATTAACCTTATGTCAATTGATGACTTAAATGAAGAAAAATCGGCTATTAAAAAAGAATTGCGTGACTTTGATACAAATTTCAAAAAACAATATGGTCAACTACCTAGAAAAAATGATAAAGAAATCATGAGACCCCTTTATACAAGATATAGGGAAGTAAAATCCTTAATAGACTTAAAATCACCTCAATTATCCAATTCCTCAACCCCAAACTCACTTTCAACCTCATCAAACACAACAACCCCAATTTCATTATCATCATCGTCAATTAAAAGTAATGGTCATCACAATAACTATATAAATAATAATAACTATAATAATAATATGAATGGCTCATCCTCATCAATCTCCACAATATCTACCATTAGCTCATTAAGCAATAGCCAAGATTTACAACAAAAACAAAATAGCTCATCTTCATCACTAATAAGTAATAATGGAGCTAGTAGTAATAATAGTGGATTTAAATCTTCATCACCTCCTAACTCAAATTATGTATCACCTTATGTTTCTCCAAGTGCCTCATTTTCATCTTTATCAGATTTACAAAACAATCAAACACCAAATAATAATAATAATAGCAACAATAATAATAACAATAATAACACCAATAGCTCAAATAACTCACAATCAAATGAAAAACAACTACCAACTGATTTATCAAAACTATCAACCAATGAATTAAAAGAACGTTATATTAAAGTAAAGGGTGAAAAGAGAACATTACAAATAGACTTACATAGATATCAATCCGATTTTACTAAAAAGCATGGCAGAAAAGTTCAATTTGTCGAAGATAGAGTTCCTGTACAGACAGAATACGAAAAATATAAAGAATTAAAAATTGAACTAACTTTGATAGAAAAACTATTGGGTATAAATCCAGCCAATCCTCAACAATCACAACCACAGCCACAACAACAACAAATCAGAAAATAATTATGATGGTTTGTTAAATTACCAACTCACCATAATTACAAATTATCTACCCAATATATTTATGAATTATTTTTTTTTTTTTTTCATTGGCCCTCTTTTTTTATTTCTTTTTTTCGAATTTTTAAAATATAAATAATAAAAAAAAGATGTCAATTTTGTATATTAAAATTTTAATACTTTTATCCCTTTTGACTTAATTTTTTAGTATTTATCAATTATTCAACCAAACCTTTTTTTTTATTTTTTTTATTTTTTTAATTTTTTTAATTTTTTTATTTTTTTTTTTTAAATCAATTTTTCAAGTGTTTTATACGTTGCACCCAAAGCAATCAAATATAACTTTATATTTTAATGTATTTGATTTTATATTTTATATTTTAATTTTAAATTTTTTTTTTTTTTTGTTTTCCTATTTCCAACCAGTTTTTAAAAAGATTTTTTATAATTATTTAAACAAAAAAAATTTGAAAAAAAAAAAATAAAATAAAAAATAAAAAAAATAAAATTTTTTTTAAATAAAATAAAAAAAAAATTATAATTATTTAGTTTTTTTTTATTTTTCAAATTTCTTTATAAAATATATTCTTTGTTATAGGTAATATTATTTTAGTTTTTGTGGTTTTAAAATTAAAAAAGCGGAGAAGAGAATGACAGGGGTTTAGATATATAAATAATATAATTATAATAAAAACATAAATATAATTTTATATAAATATATGCATTTCATATTTCTTTTTTGTTGTTGTTATTTTAATTCATTTTTCCTTAATTGATAAAATAATTTTGCAGTGCATGTACATATATAATATATTTGTGTGTGTATGTGCTCCTATTTTTATTTTTTTATTTTTTTTTTTATGGGTGTTTGATGTGTGTGGTTTTTTTAATCATCATATTTTTTTTTATATTTTTTTTTTAATTATATTTTTTTTTGTTCATTTTTTATAAAAAAAAAATAAAAAAAAACCATTCATTCTCCTTAATAAAAGTAATAGTAGTAGAAGTATTATTTCTTTATATAAGTAATAGTATTTGTATTAGTTATCAAAAAAAAAAGTATTAGTAGATATATATTTATAAAATTTACAAAAAAAAAAGAAACTCTTTATATTCATTATATATTTTCGTTATAGTAGTAACTGATGTGTATATAAAAACAATATAGTTGTATTCATTATAAATATCAATAAGATTTATTTTTATTTCCATATTTTTTTTTAATTTTAAAATTTTTTTTTATGTATTCTATGTTTTTTTATGTTCTTCAATTCTATTTTTTAATTTAATCAACTATTCTCAATCTAACTCTATTTTAATTATTTTACTTTACTATTAGAATAAATTTAAAAAAAAAAACAAAACAAAATGTCAGGATATGATAGCAATCTTTTGTTTGGAACTCAAGTAACATATGAGGATAATCAAGGTGCATTTGTAAGTACTTTATCAATGTATATTTATTTGTGGATAGGTTATATTTTATATTCAAATTATGATATTTGGAATTTATTCTCTCATTGGCAAGATAATATCATTGTTTTTTTTTCACCAATTTTTTTTTTTATTTTTTTTTTTTTTGAATTTATTTCTTTGGTCTTTTGCCCCACTTTTTCACATAGAACATAAAAAAATCAACAGGTTCCTCGTTAAAAAATAAAAATAAAAAAATTAATATTAAAATTTTATTTTTTTTTTTTATTTTTTTTTATTTTTTTTAAAATTTTTTTTTAAAATTTTTTTTTTATAACCTGTTTTTGTATTATTATTTTTCAACCATTTTTTTTTTATTTTATTGTATTTTTAATATTTATTTTTTGTAATAATATTATTAATTTTAAAAAACTTTAAATTTTAAAGGAAGCATTTTCAAACGAACAACCAGTTGATAATTCATCTAACCCATTTTTAGAACCACAACAATCAGATCAACAAGATTCAGCATCATATCCAACCCTTCAAAAACAATATTCAAGAGAGGTTGCACCAAATACAAATTCATTATCTCAACCACAATCATATAACAGTAATAGCACAGTTACACAATCAAACGGTGTTGTTATTCAACAAAAACAAAGAACATCACAAAACTATCAATCACAATCAACATCACAAGGTAAATTCCAACCATCTTTTAAAGCACCAACTCTTAAATTTGTTTCAGCATATAGAACAAGCATGGATATTACAGTTTGCCCACCAGATATGATCGGCGAAGGTATGGGTGCCTACGCTATCTATAAAATTATCACCAAACAAAGTTTAAATGATAACCCAGATTATAAAAAAGAAACCTCAGTATCACGTAGATATTCAGACTTTTTATGGTTAAGAAATGTATTAAAAGAAACTAGAAAAGGTTGTTTAATTCCACAATTACCAGAAAAAGCTGTTTTAAGTATGTAGTTCATTATATAATGTAATATGAATGAATTAATTGGATTATTAATATTTTTTTATTTTTTATTTTATTTTAATAGATAATCGTAATAAAGACTTTTTAGAACAACGTAGAAGAGATTTAGAAAAGTTTTTAAACAGAGTTGTTGAAAGTGGTTCATTATCTCAAGCAAATGAAATTACAGTATTTTTAGAAGGTTCAGATGAACAACTTGCTGCAGCTAAACAAAATAGACCAGCCGCTCAATCATTAGAAGAATCAACTGCCTCACCACCACCAGCAGCTCAACCAGAGGGTAAAATGGGTAAATTTACATCATTCTTTGGTAATAGTATCAATCAAATCAGTAATTTAGCACAAGGTGTACACAGTGTTAAAGAAGTCGATGGTTGGTTTGGTGAAAAGAAATCTTATATACTCGATTTAGATGTTGCTCTTCGTCGTTTCGAAGAAAATGTTAGCAATGTTATTAGAAGACGTAGAGAATTAGCTATGGCTCTTGGTGAATTAAAATCTGCTGGTCTTTCATTTAGTTCCTGTGAGGTTACACAACATCAAGAAATCGCCAACAGTTATCAACGTCTTGGTGATGTTGAAGATAACATTAGACAAGGCATGGAAGATTTATCAAATAATGAACAAGGTTACTTTGAGGAAGGTATTAGAGATTACTTAAAAGCCATCGCATCAGTTAAAGAACTCTTAAACGATCGTCTCGATGCTCTCATGAACATGCAAAACCACGAACGTGCTGTTGCCTCCAAGAAAGAGAAGTTTGAAAAACTTAAAGTTTCAAACTCTGGTAAAGCCGCCTCCATGCAAAAAGAAGTCGATGATGCCGTTAGAAAACTTACTGAATCCTCAGCTGAATATGAAAAAATCTCTGCAACTGCTCGTCTCGAATTAACTAAATTTGATGAAAAGAGAACCTATGAAATGAAGAGAATATTAAACTATGTTATCCGTTTAAATTTAGACCACTTTTTAAAGTCTTCTGATAGCTGGAGAGAATTATTAACTGAACAACACCAAAATGGTGATCCAAATTTCGATAATAAAACCAAAGCATCATGGGGTAGTTCAACTATTTAAAATAATATAATAGTAATAATAGAAAAAAAAAAAAAAAACCATCAATTAAAATAAAATAAATATATAATAAATTATTAAATTATTAAAATCATCATTTTTTTTTTTATAAAGTTTATTAGTATTATTTAATTAATTTAATCTTTTAATTGGATATTTCAATTTTACATTGCATTTATTAAATAAGAAAATATTTGTTTTGTTGAATTTTAACCACTCCAATTTATTTTTATTTTTTTAATAATTTTTTTTTTTTATTAAACATTTTTTTTTTTAATAAATTGTAATTTTTTTTTTTAATAAATTGTAATTTTTTTTTTTTTTTTTAAACACATTTTATAAAATTTCAAATTATGAGTGATACAGATAACAAGCAAAATAGTGTTGTTTCAGAAAAAGAAAATACAAAAAGTAATGTTAGAGATTTAGATTGCTTATTCTCTCTAGTTTGGTGTAATATTTATATTAGAAAAGAGATTTTTAGGTAGGAATAGAAAAAATTTGGTACATTAAATAACATTAAAAGTTTAATATTAATAAACTAATTGAAATATTTAATATTATAATCAGGCATGTAGAGTTGTATAGAAAAAATTACGGATTCAAAGTAAGAGATAGTAGGACTCTATATTATTTACCAACAAAGGGTTATATCAAACATCTTACAATTGATAATATTATTTCGGGTTATCCAATACCATTTGGGGTGAATGCTTTAATAGTAAGAGGTGGAGGTAGTACTCTTGATGAAAATAGTATACCAGATTCAGTTACCTCCTTATCTCTCAACAAATATTCAAACATTAAGTTTGAGGAAGGTCAAATTCCATCATCCTTAACATTTTTAGAAGTTAATAGAGGATTTCAACAATTAAACAAAAACGTTGTATTCAATTTAAATTTATTAGAGTCTTTAATAATTGGTGATGACTTCAATTTATTGGAACCAAACCAAATTCCAAGCACTGTTAAAACCTTGCAAATTGGTGAAAGAGTTTTTAGAAGGAATGGAGAATTACCAAAAAAAATTAAAGTATCTCGAGTGCAACCAAAAAGAGTCATTGGTTCCAATTCAATACCACAATCTGTTACACAAATTATATTTGGTGACTATTATAATACCTCGATCAAGCCCAATGTTCTTCCATCATCTGTCGAATCTATAACCTTTGGTTTATCATTTAATAAACCTATTGGTTTAGGTGTATTGCCTTTAAATCTAACTTCAATTACTTTTGATTATCATTTCGATCAAGAAATTAAACCATTAGTTTTACCACAAACATTAAGGTATCTAAAATTTGGTTTCGAATTTAACCAAGCCATTGAGCCTTTTGTTCTACCGGAATCATTAACAACATTAATATTTGGATGTATGTTTAACCAACAATTATTACCTGGATCGATACCAAACAAAGTTGAATATTTAAGGTTTGCTCATTATTTTAATAAACCAATTACTCAAAACGATATACTACCTCAATCATTAAAGAAACTAAGATTTGGGACCACGTTCAATAGTTTAAATCCAGATATTTTAAGCAATTTAAATATTGAAGAGTTGGGATTTGGAATGGACTTTAAGATACCAATAGAAAATAAACATCTACCGCCATCTCTTAAAATTTTACAAATATATAATAAAAAATCAATCGATTTAACAAATTGGAAAGAAATAAATTTTCATACATACGAAAAAATAAAAAAAAATAAAATAAATTAATAAATTAATAAATTAATAAATAAATTAGTAAATAAATAAATTAGTAAATAAATAAATAAATAAATAAATAAATACAAAAATTAAAAGTTTTTATTTTATTATCATTATTTTCTTGGTTGCATTGGTCCACCAGGTGGGAAACCTTGTGGTGGCATATTTGGATTAAAACCTCTGCCCATTGGTGGTGGTGGGCCAGGTGGGAAACCTTGTGGTGGCATATTTGGGTTAAAACCTTGTGGCATATTTGGATTAAAACCTTGTGGTGGTAATGGAGGCATACCAGGAGCAAAACCTCTACCCATTGGTGGGCCAGGATGATAACCTCTGCCACCCATTGGTGGTGGTGGGCCAGCATGATAACCTCTACCGCCCATTGGTGGTGGTGGATTATTACCACCCATTGGTGGCATCATTGGTGGTTGATTTGAAGGCATCATTGATTGTGGAGCTGGACCACCGACACCACGTACTGGACCAGTTAAACCAGCGCTTGAACCACCAACACCTAAACCAATACCACGACCAGCTGCTCTACCAATACCTGGACCACCTGGAATTTGTGGTGGCATTTTTGATGTTGCTGCTAATTTGGCTTCTTCTGGTGGTGGTGCTTCAACTGACATTGAAACTACTGTTTCACCTCTAATTAAAAGCATACCTAATGTTCTTTTTTCTTCTCTATCTTCTTTACCTTTTTGTTTGATTCTTCTAAATTCTTCTGCATCACAAATAACAACATTCATATGTTTATCAAATGCTAAAAATCTACCAACTATAACTCTACCATCTTGAATTGTAACTTTCATTCTATAATTGATATATTGTAACATTTTACTACTTTTTGGCATACCACTCTTTTTTTTTTAAATAATAATAAAGGTTAGTATTAGAGATAATAAGGTTTAAAACTATATTAAAGATCTATTATAATATTTATATATTACCATTTTCGATTTCTTTACTAAAATTGAATTATATATAAATGAACTATATATAACCTAAAAGTAAGATGAAAGGATTGTATTTATATATATATAGGGTTAAAAAAAAAAAAAAGTAATATAACCTTCTTTTTTTGTTGTTTTGGGAATTTGAAAAGGGTTTTTATTAATAAAAGATTATACTATGAATAATATAATCTAACAAAAATTTCTAAATAATTCTAAATTGTATCGATATGATTATTTAGAAATATGTAGTGTGTTTATTGATGTTTTTCCAACTGATTTATTGATTGAGACAATCCAAAATAAATTCCTAATGATTTTGAAGTCTAATAAATGAAATGAAAAATAAAGAAAAAAAAAAAAAAAAAATTTGTTTTATGAAAATTTCAAAATAAAAATAAAAAAAAAAATTAAAAAAATTAAAAATAAAAAAAATTGAATGAAATTTTTTTTTTTTTTTTTTCCACCAAATATTGAAATAATCAATTTTGAAAAAGGAAAAAAAAAGGGGGAGTTTTTATTTTTTTTTTGAGTGTGAATTTGTGAGTTGATTACTTAGAATAATTCAGCAATCATACATCTGATACCACCACCACCAACTGATTGAATGGTTGGGATATCACGAGTGATAAAACCACCATTGCAGTTGTTTTTGATTGTTTCTTTTTGTTGTTCAGTGAAAGCTTTGAATGAAGATTCTGAGCAAACAAAGAATTTGTCACCATTTCCATTTTGAACTTCAATAACATTACCACAGAATTGGTTTACTTGATCTTTGGTGATATTGACGATGGTGTGGGTTTTTGAAAGAGTTTTTTCAACCATTTCTCTGTCTTCTTGGGTGGCAATTGAGTCGAGACAAATAACTGCAATCTTTGTGCAGATAGCCATGATGACATTAGTGTGATAAACGATTTTATTATTGCTGTCTAAAGATTCGAATGCAACGAGATTGTAACCCATTTTATCGCACCATTCTTGAGCTAATTGTTTGTGTGAACGTTGACTAATACAAATATAAGCGTTCTTATTGACTCTGTCTAAAACAAATGAACCTGTACCTTCTAAAAACATACCTTTTTCTTCATAATGGGTGAAATCGACGATTTGTAATTGATCTGCTGGATAACGATTCTTTAAAAATTCAATAATGTTTGCTCTTCTTTCAAGACGACGATTTGGGTGACACATTGGGTATAATACTAAAGTGTTTTTACCACCAGCATTTGACATTTCTTCTGCAGAGTGGGTTGAAAACCAATTGTTTGGGAAAACACAATCTGGTGTTTCGATACCATCACCTTTTGGTTGGAATAATTTAACATTAACATTCTTTTCTTTAATTGCATTGCAATATTCTGTAAATTCTTTAACACCTAAGGTTGGAATATCTAATCCTTCACCTGGTTTATTCATAAATGTATTATCTGCAATAGCTTGAACATTGCTTTCGAAATGTGTTGGTTCTACCATTAAAATATTATTACTTGATTGGTTTCTTGTCATTTTATTTTTTTATTTTTTTTTTTTAATAAATTAATTTTTTGTTTTTATTATTATAATTTTATTTTTATTATTTAATTGTTTATATTTGTATAAAAGTAATATATATTAATTGTAATAATATGATATTTTAAAACAAAAAAGAAAAAAAAAAATCCTGACGTTTTTTAAAAAAAAAAAAAAAAAAAAAAAAAAAATATAAAATTAAAAAAAAAAAATTTTAAAAAAATTAAATTTACACATAACCAGTATACAAATAATTTTATTTTAGTGCAAAAAAGAATAAATATTTATTTTTATTTCCAAAAGATTGAATTTTTATTATTATACATTTTTTTTTTTTTTTTATTAAATATTTTTCCCACCTTTTTTTTCTTATTATTGATTTTCGGTTTCTTTATCAGGGGTCTGTAAAATAATTTTTGTTTTCAATCAGATAAAAAAAAAAACAAAACAATATTCTTGTATTTTTATTAAAATTAAATTATTTCATTAATTTTTATTTTTTAATTTTTTTTAAATTATTTCATTATTTTTTATTTTTTAATTTTTTTCGTGTTCTTTTTTTTTTTTTTTTATTTTTTCAAAAAATTAAAATTATTTTTAAGCACTATATATAAATAAATAAATAAAAAAAATATAAAATGAGTATTTTTACACCTGTAAATAATAAAACTTTAACCAATATAGCTATTGTAAGATTCAAAAAAGGTGCTGCTAGATTCGAGATTGCATGCTATCCTTCAAAAGTTCAATCATACAGAAATAAAATGTTTGTATAATGCATATTTAATAATTTAATTACATTTATATTAAAATTAAAATTAATATTTTTATTTTGTTTTATTATTAAAACTATTATAGCGAAAAAGATTTAAATGAAGTTATTCAAATCCACAGAATTTTTACAAATGTTTCAAAAGGTGTTATAGCTAAAAAGGATGAATTAATGAAGGCATTTGGTACAGATAATGAATCAGAAATTATATTGTTAATTTTAGAAAAAGGTGAACTTCAAGTATCGTCAAAAGAAAGAGATAATCAATCAGAGCAAACATTTAAAGATATTGCAACTATCGTGGCAGAGAAATGTGTAAATACAGAAACCCAACGTCCAATTCCAGTATCCATTATCGAAAAAGCAATGAGAGATGTTCACTATTCAATTCATCCAACTAAATCATCAAAACAACAATCATTAGAGGTCATTAAACAAATTAGTACAGTCATTCCAATTCAAAGAGCTCAAATGAGATTAAATATTACTGTACCACCAAAAGAAGCCAAATCATTAAATCGTGATAAATTAATGGTTTTAATTTCAAAAATTGAAGAAGAAGATCACGACGAAGGTCTCTCTATTGTTTGTTTAGTAGATCCAGGTTCATTCAGAAAAATAGACGAATTTGTCAAACAAGAAACTAAAGGAAAAGGTTTTATTGAGATTATGAATTTAGCAGTTGCCAAAGAAGGTGAAACCAAAATTTCCTCGATTGATTCAGCCAAACCATCATCAAAAGATTCAAAACAAACCACTACAACAACAACTTCATCCTCAAAATAAACTAATATAATTATAGCATTATCTCCAATTTCATAAAATTTAAAAAATTTTAAATTCACTTCAAACCACATTTTTTTATTTTTATGCCATTTTATATTTTTTCGCATGCTTGCAATTTATTTTGTTTTATTTTTTAAAATCTTTTTTTACAAACATACATAAATGGATAAAGATAAAATTTTTTATTTTTTATTTTTTTAGATATTGAATAGAACATGAAATGGTTTTTTTCTATATATAATTCCAGAGAATACCACACCCACACCCCATTACAATAAATTTTTTTTTTTTTTTTTTTTTATGTGTGGGTGTTTTTTAACCACTTTTATTATTTTTAATGTAAAAATTTTTTTTATTTTTTTATTTTTAATTTAAAAAATTATATTATATATATATATTTTCATTTTTTAAAAAGAGTAAATAATAATAAACTATGGATTTAGAATTTAATATTGAAAGTAAAAAAGAAAATTCAAACTCTAAAGAAAAAGAAAATAAATTAATAACAGACTATTCCAAATTCTTTTCATTAAGAAATACAACACCTGTTCAAGTAACTCCCATTGAGCTTAAAAGTTTTGTTGTTTCTAAAGATTATGTATGTATTTATTAATAGTGTGTAATAGTTTTACTTATTTAATATTAATATATACTTGATTTTTTATATAAAAAATAATAATAATAATAAATAATTATTTTTAGTATCAATTTGGTGCTGGTGTACCCTCGCATTTATTTTTTCCAATTAAAGGACTAAAGTTTCAATTTCAATATGTAGATGAAACAATAGAGATCGAGGAAGATAATTTAGGAACACTTCAACAATATTCACAATTACCTGGATTTCCTAAATTAATCGAGTGGTTAAGAGAGTTACAAAAAAGATATCATGGTTTAGATAGCTGTAATTATTTTATTTATTTTTTATAAAAATTATAATATTATAAATAATATTAATTTTTTTTTAAGATGATACAGAAGGAAAAGAATGGGATATATTATTAACAACGGGTTCACAGCAAGGGTTGGATGTAATGTTTAAAGTTTTTCTTGATAGAAATGATTCCCTTTTAACAGAAAGATATTCTTATGGTGGCATGTTTGCTTTATCCCAACCTTTTGGCGTAAATACAATTGGTATAGAGATGGATGATAGGGGTGTTATACCAGATCAACTACAGTATGTTTTAAAAAACTGGTGCACATTGCATAGAGATAAAAAATTCCCAAAAGCACTATATGTAATACCACATGGCCAAAACCCAACTGGTATCATATACGACCTTGAAAGAAAAAGAGAAATTTATAACATTTGTAGAGAATGGGACTTATTAATCATAGAAGATGACCCTCATTTCTTTTTGCAATTTGAAAACCCAATGAATGAAAAGGGTCATAGAATTTTAGAAAAGTCATTTTTAAAGATAGATACAGACGATAGAGTAGTTAGATTAGATACTTTTAGCAAATTTTTGTCAAGTGGTATAAGAATGGGAATAATTACATGCAGTAAGAAACTAATGCCAATATTTAATTTGGAGGTTACATGCGCAATATTCCATCCATCCGGTCTAACTCAAGCAATGTTGGAAGCACTATTTTTAAGATGGGGCTACGAAGGCTTTGAAAATCATGTAAAGAGGGTTCAAGATATTTTAATACAGAAAAGAAAAGATGCAATTGAAAATATAGAGAAACATCTTAAAGGTTTGGTTACATACAGGGTACCAAATAGTGGATTATATTTATGGTTAAAGCTTAATAATGTAGACTGCTCATTAACTTTTATTAGAGATATTGTGTTCCCAAGGAATGTTTTATTTGGTTTAGGAATTTCTCACTCACCAGATAGAAATGTCAAATCACCCTACATCAGGGTAACATTTTCATATTTAGAAAAAGAAGATGGTGATGTAGCTTTTAAAATATTAGGTGATTGTTTAAGATCTTTAAATGGTAATAATAATATCGGTATTTAATCAAAAAAAAAAAAAAATAACCTAATTACAAATATTATCAAAAAATCAACAACAATAAATTAATCATTCATAAACATATTTAGTTATATCATCTATTTATATTAATTTCCTTTAAAAAAATAAAATTTTAATTATTATAATTTCCAAAAAAATAAAAATTATAATAATAAAAAAAAATAATTTTGATTTTATTTTTTTTTAATACCCCAACAAAACAATATTTTATTTTTTAAAAAACGTTTGTCTGTAAAGGTAACACCAGAGGATTTATAACATTTTGGGTTATGAACAATATATTAATTTATCAATGGTTGATGAAAAAATCCCAATTGAATGATTTAAATAGTCTAAATGATCTCTTTTTTTGGATATTTTAAATTGCATTTTAGGTTTAACCATTATAAATAAATTATTTGTTCATAAAATCTTTTTCTTTTAAAAAAAATAAATATAAAATATAAAAAATATAATTTGTAAATTATAAAATAAATTAGAATTAATAAAAAAAAAAAAATTTTAACAAATGAAAAATTAATAAAAAAAAAAAATTGAAGAATTAAAAATTATTTTTTTCACCCACCCATACAATTTCTTTTTGATATGGATTCTTTTACTTTATTTATTTTGATCCACATATTTTTAATTTAAAATAAAATTAAATTGGAAATTTTATAATAATAAAAAAAAAAAAAATATATTTTTGTAATTTATAATATTAATTTAAAATAATTTAATTATTGAAATTTTTAACTATAAATATCTTATAAAATTTATTTAATTCATTAAACTATAGAAATTTTATAAAATTAATTTAATTCATTAAACTATAGAAATTTTTAACTATAAAAATAAATTATTAAAAAATTCTTAATAATAAATATATCTATATTTAATAATAAAATTAAATAAATATTAATTAATTAATTAAATATTAATAAATTAAATAAATACTAATGATAAATATCATTTATTCATAGGTCGATATTGCAGAAGAAATTAAAAAAAATAAACATTCTTTGGTACTGGCCAAATGTTTCTGCAATATCGACCTATGAATAAATGATATTTATCATTATTAAAAGATCAAGATAAAAAAACTGTATCGGTTAATGATAAATCATCAAGTTCAAAACCACATCAACCTTTAATTCTCCAATTACAATTTCATCAACAAATTCGATGACCACAGATGTTGATTCCCAACTAACTGAATCTCCAATTGTAACCGAACAAGAATTTAAAACAATTTCAAAAGATGGAAAACTTTTTATGAAATCAAAACCACCAGTGGAG